GCTCGGCACATATTCAAGAGGTCCGTGGTTCGATTCCTGGAGGGGGCATTGCTCATTTTTCATCCCTCCTGCTTTCAAAAAATACCTAGTGTCTCTACACCCTCTCGCAGCTGAGTTTAGAGGTGAAAATTTGATTTTCTGGCTTACTAAATACACGAAATTTTAAAAATCAGAGTTTTGATAACTGTATTTGTTATTTTTAATTGTGTCTGAAGATACATATCTTTAGAAAAACGTTAATATGTTATACCTTTAAAAACCACTTCCGTAAATTTGTGCTTCTTGTCTATGCTACTGAAGTTTAGTTGGATTGCTATTTACTTTGAAGAAGAAATTTCACAGAGCAAGAGAAAATTAAACAGGAGTAAATAGTAGTTATCTAACTGAAGCTTTTAACTGATAGCTTTTAGGCATAATGCTTCATCAAAACTCTATACTAACATGTGCATTGCAGCACACATATCTTCAGTTTATTCAATGGCAATCTGGCAACCTTGATTCTTATCTCCAGTGCCTATCACTTGCGTACAAATTATGTAATCTTTCAAATTAGTGCTTCAGTAATTCCCTAGCCTGAAAAATACATATACACATTTATTTAGATTTAGATTATTTCTAACGTGTTTTTCAAATTTAACACCAAAAAGTATTATCGCAGGCGTTCCCCTTCCTCTCTAACTTAAACAGACTCTAAGCTTTGGTTTTGAGTTGTAGCCGCTTGGATTGTAAATGAGCAGTATTGTTTGTAAATCGCTCTAAAGTGTAAGTGGCAATATTGTTTGTAAATCTCTATAACTTTAATGTTTTATTAAATGTTTTCAAATATTAGATTATTATTGTGAATTCTGATGAATTTGAGATTTTTAGCAAAGAAGATATTCGCCACCTGCGGACTCGTTTACAAAAACGGTAGGAGAAACCTCAAGGTAAATATTCATTGTTCCTTTATTTAACCTTTTACAAGTATAGCAAATCCTGGTGAATACCAAAACTTTAATAATTAAAATTAATTTGTTTTTTTTCATAAAGTAAAATTAAATACTTAATAGATGAATAGAAGGCTGACCACATTATCCCCATGAAACTATGAAATCCCCCCTTTTTGAGAACCCCTGCACTATATCTTTCTTTTTTTTTTTAAAGTTAATCTATCCCTTTCTTCTTTTCGATGGAAGGCAACATAATACCCAAAATATTTTAACACACCCTTTATTGAGTGATCTAATAAACTGCAAGGAGATCAAACATCCCGCTCCCTACTTTCCGAATTCTCTACATGCATTCTTTTGAAGAATTTGGATTATTTGATAAGGGCATAACACATTATGGTTCTCTACCTAACAGACGGAAGGCCTTCATGGAGAACGTGTAAAGAAAACTGGATCGTATTCAAGGTACCGACACGAGAACTTATATGGTTCTCTAACTTACGGGTTGTTTTATTAGGATAACTAATCGGTTAGTAAACTGAACTCTTATAGCTTTCTTAAACTTCTTAACCCAGCAAATACCGTTATTCTTGGTGAATTCTATCGCAACTAGCTCTAGAGTTTCATCGGATTTGTGCTTCTAATTTGTTTTCAACTTACAGTCTTGTACATTCATCTTAGGAGTTTTTAAGACTAATTATTTGAAAGAGTATAATTTGTGTAAAATTAATTCGGTATAAACAAATGAAAAAAGTGAAAAAAAAAACTTAATATGTTTTTCTGTAGTGAAGTACTTCATGTACTTCATTGGAGTTTATCTGATAGCTGTGATATTATATCCTGCTGAATTTGTACGAAATTTGAATAATTTGTTAAAATTCTTTATCCTTATGACACTAGATCTTATTCCAGCTGCTATTACGTAACAAATCGTATCTAAATGGTGTAAATCAACCTGATTGCAATATAAAGCAGTGTAAAAGAATTCTCATGCCCTGTGACAAATATTCTGAACTCATGTACTTTGTGCCAGAAAATCTGACACATAGTTTGCTTTGAGAACTGAAAGGCAATGCATTTTTATGAGTTAAAAATCCAAAAAGAGAAAGTTTAATTAACTTTTCTTAATTTTCTTGGTTGATATTTAAATATCCAAACAAAAATTGGAAATTCCTCTTTAAATAAACATCAAATACCCATAAAAATAAATAAACCAAATAAGAAGCTCAATCAATCTGTACTTACTAAGAACCTTTCTTAATATTGCTCCCCAATATTATTACGAAACTGTGATTTAATAAAACCAAATCTAAACATACTTTCATTAGGATGTACTTTCATTATCAGACTGAAGAACAGAATAAACTCTAAAATATGGGAGTTTGTTTTTATTAATATCACTGGTACGCAAGTTTCTTTAGAAATAAGGGATAGAAATTAATTTCTTTAAGATTTGTGCGAGAGTTTATGCATGAGGTTCTATGAGAGTTTATATGATGTAATATAATAATATTACATAACGAAAATTTCGAGACAAAGTTGAAATGTTTTTTCTTTGTTTTTCCAAAGCCTTAGCTTAAGGTTCGTTACCATTTTATAACTGCCTACTCAATTAAGTTAATTTTCTTCTGAATTTAAGCAAACAGTAGCTTAAGGGACTCTGCATCTGCTACATAACGCCTGAAAATCTGCAGTAAAATCAATAAATTCTTTATTACTTACTAAAAATTTCTGTTTTAAAGAATGTCAGACAGTAAATAGCGAGTAATGAGTAAGTCAGCGATTTTATTTGCAAAAGTATTTCAAAATGCATTTGAAAATAAGCAAAGACCCTCAGATAAATTACCACTAAAACATCATAAAGAAGATAACCTTCTGAAGCATAATCACATTTAACTTTTGATTACCAAATGTCGCAGTTTTGTTTAGCACAAAATGGCATTAAAGCTCTTTGTGTCTATATCCTGATCCCATATATTACAGAAGCAACACATCGTCTAAAATTCCACAAATTTGACTATACTTCTCCAAGCGATGCCAGATTTATTTCCATGTTTTCTAAACTTCGGTGTTTGATTTTTTTGGTTCTACTAACAAACTATAATTGGGTATAAATGTACGATTCCTCAGTTCGACTAAGCAGCCGAGTGAATAAAACTGTTAAACACTGGTAATAAATAACGATAATGGGGTATGTGTCTTTTCAGTTTTTACGTGATTATTCAAGATATATCTTCTTAATATCGTCAAAATGGCATATAATTTTATATTCATGATGACTGATACATATTTTATAAGCAGACAAATTATCTGTATGCCTCTACCTCTAGAAGGCTTTTGAGCACGTCATCGATTATGGATTACACATCCAGGAACCCAACTATCATGTAGAAAGCAATTTGACATTTTTAATTTCCTTTCAACTATCTTTCCATATTATTATTCACTTTTAAATACATTTTAGTGGTTCTCATGTCTTTATTTATATACATAAATTCACGCATTTCTGCGGTTATTTTTTATTACAATATTCCCTATTATTTATTCCTTCACTGTTACTATTTACTTAAATATTATTTATTCATAATTAAGTTCGTTTATTAATGTGCAACCAATACAATAGCCTCTAATAAAATAGTTTATTTATCCACTTTGCATAAAAAACTTAGTCTAAAAATAATCAAAACAATTTTCTCAGTAAAAAGTAAAAAGGAAATAAACTAGGAAGTCTGAAATGTAAGACTCTTTGCCAATCATATGAAGTATTTTAATGCCTATTTTAAACTATAATATTTGTATGCTTATCAAAAAAATAGTACTATGAGCCAGTAGCTTCTTAATACTTTCATATTTCTCAGTGGCAAAAGAATGTTCATAAAAAAATCTGCTGTCAGAGAAAACTGCTTTCATGTACCGGTTTCATTGTTGTCTATAGATATCAGTATCGTAATACAATGAAACCTCCGTTTACGAATTTAATTCGTTCTCAAAGGCATCTTTCATCAACCGAAATGTTCGAAATGTTTTCCCACAGCAGTTAATGTAAAACAGATTAGTTTGCTCCTGGGCAACAAATAATTGTTTATTTAATTTGACAACAGTACTTTGAAGACAAACTCAAAACCAACAGAAATTATCAAATATAAGACAAAAAAGATAAACACAACATAAAACAGATAAAATAGACGAACGCGTAGTTTAATTTTTTTTCTAACTATATGAAGGAGAGTGGCTATATAAGAGGAAAACGATCAGAAAGATTACTCTTTGAAGAATTTGTGAATGAAATGTAAGGAATGGTAAATATTAAAATGGCGTTTCCAGAGTCTCTGAGTGTTAATTATGTATCATATGTTACTTCAAAACAACTTTGAAAATCTTATGTTGACTACTTAAGTGTTCGAACTTGAGACACCTTTGGCTATCCAAGGCTATTTTGTTCAGATAATTCGTTTGTGAAAGATTTGCTAAACTCAGGCGTTCATGATTTGGTTTCACTGTAGTGAATTATATTTCTGAATTATCTTTAAACAAAAACATAGCTCGCATGATGACAAAGTTTACGTGTATGATGCCAAGATGTCAAAACTTCTAGGGCATTACTAAAGTTCATTTTATTACTAGAGCATTTCAAGATGTCCATTTAATTTGTTGATGTGAAAAATTATTGTGTAAAACTGAAAGATTTAAATAAAGGTGAATGATTAAATAAATTGAAAATTACAAATATTTTATTGAGAAAATAATTGCATTGTTTTCAAATTCAGTTAAACAAAATATGAAGCTGGGGTGAATTTTCACATTCTTAAATTTCTATGTTATGATTTTGGTTACAGGTAAAATGAAAAAGAAAAGTTCATGGGAATATTTTGTGTGTGTGTAATACAAGTATACGAAACAAGCGACGAAAACATATTCACTTTATATTTAACTAGTCTTATTATATAATTGAGCATATATGAACCGCGATAGATATTTTGTATGAACTTGTATACATTTTTAACTTACTTTTTTAAGAAATTAGTGCTCAATTAATGTAGAATAATCACAATTCTTTATCTTTCAACAAGAAACACCAGCACGCGAAAGCTAGCAACCCAATCAAAAAATATGGCGTCCTTAGCAACGAAGCAGTTCTTTCGTTGTCTTTCGTATTAGAAGCTATCTTTTCTTCACATGAAAATGGCGAGAAGTAAGTTAATATTTTAATTAGATTCTTTTGTAGAAAGTGTTTTTGTTATTTTTAGTGAAATTATTAGAATATAAGCTAAATAGTTGTTATTTTAAATTTTTAAAGAAACTCATACTGACATAAAATCATAAAGCTTAATTATTTCTAATACCTAAACTAATGCATTTCATAAACTCTTCGGAAAATTCATTTACTAATATTTTTTTATTCTTTAATTCCTGTATATTAATATATACAATCAACTTCCGATTAACCGGATACGAATTATCCGGGTGAGTATTAACCGAGCCTTGTCTTGAAAAGATATGTTTGCTTATTGTGGAATGATAAGAAAATCTTTCTGCAACAGTACGTAATGTAATTGTATATATAATCAGGATATAAATGTTAAAAAAATATGTAAAAAATAAATTTCTAAATAGTAAAAAATTAATGAAATACGGAACTATTAATCTTTTGTTTTCCATTGATTTCTATTGAAACACAAAAGTAATATGTAAACAAAAACATTTTTATTTTTCTATTTTGAAGTGTGTTCTGCTTTTGAATGCTGATTTAATTACATGACCAAATATATTTATTCTCCATAAACTGCTGAAAAATAAAGTAAATTGTTAATGATATTTTTCTGTAAATTACAGTGTAGATTATTTATTTTTTCTGTTATTATAACTGTTGTCGAATTACTCATGATTTTGAGTTAACCTTGGATGTTGTTTCTGTTAATCGAGATTTATTCGGTTATCAGACCCCACAAAATAACCCGTTTAATCGGGATTTAACTGTATATATGTATGTATTAAAATATTAGAGAAACCAGATGTATAAAATTTTCCTGCACATGTATATACATTTCAAACTGAAAAATTATGGAAAATATTTTTTCAATATGCCTCTATTGTATATAATGAGCTCCTGTTTTAGTTTCCTCCTTAGTCAAGCGATATCTGTTTTTCAAATCCTTTGACGCAGGAGAAATTCTTTAGAAAATTTGATGAAAAAGAAATAATAATGCATTTTACTTATTGTAAATTTCATCAGAAACTAAGATGATGATAAATATCCTTCTTAAAAAATTTCTAAGCCGAAACAATTTTGTAACTAAATGTTGAAAAGTATAGAAATCGCACATCTTCATATTTCAAGAATTAAAAATTCTTTAATTAAGCGTAAAATATAAATAGCTGTAATTAAAAATTTTGAAATTTTTAAGTTCGGAAAGTGACTTTGTTCAAAAAATGAAACTTTATTTGAAAATTTCTTTAATTAGCCCCGCATTAAAAATTTAATGCATTATTTCGAAGCAGTAAGTTGTTATTTACAGTTTCATATAAAATAATAACGAAAGCAAAGCAAAGCATAGAAAACACCTGTAAAGAATTATTGCACTTTACCGAGTAAGTGGTTTCGTAATATAAGTGATTAACGTGTTCAGCCATTTAGTAAAAACCAATTGTACCTGCTCCGGGATTCGAATCACGGATTTTTATTGTTAATTGAATGTGGTGACCACTTACATTACAGGACGACGCAAAGGATCAATGCGAAAACTCCTTACAATTTAATTATATATTTCAAAGAATAAAGTCCTTAAGGAACCTTTTCCTTCTGAAAAATTATTAAATATTTTACAATAGTATAACTAAAGGAAATATCATTTATATAATATCATTTACATAGAAAGATAATTGTAACAAAGAATTGCATCAAAATGGAGTGTTTAAAATACAATGTGAGCAGTTTTAGTTCAAATGTCTTAGAAGTCTAATATTACAGCTGGATATGCAAGTAGAAATGTCAGAATTGATATTAAGAACCAAATTTCTGCGAATTATATTAACTAAAATTTAAAACCTTTGATCTGGTAATGCTGCTTTAGTCATATAACCTTAACAGACATGAAGCGAGTTATCGCTATACCTGAGGCAGAACAACAAAGTCTTAGAAAGGTTATAAACACAGCATTGCTGTTCAAGCTGAACTTCAACATAAAAGCCAGACTTTGTGCTACGATAAAAACAGTTTATGGAAATACATACTAAAATAAGAGCAGCCACTTATTTGAATGTTGAGCCTTAGTCTAAAACTATACAATTAATTACTAACTTAAAAGCTGGCTCAATAATTTACCAGCGTGTCAGACTCAAAGTATCAGCGGCGCGAGAAATGCCGAGACGAATTATTTCAACATCTGAAGCTATCAGAAATTATCTACGTAGGCGCAATGCCAGAAAGATTTCTCTCAAGATTCAAAAACCTTAGCTTAAACACTCAAACAACTAATTTACATTCCGATGAGGATCACGGAAAGGAGAAATTATAGTAAAGACCGAAATTATAATACGAGTAACTGGTTCATAACATAAGATACTCAAATACAATACATTACAAATACAGTGCTTTTTCATAAATGAGAAACCTTTCGATATTTTTTTAATTTAAAATATTCTGAAACTTGCATGAAAATGAAGCCAGAAGAAAGAGTAGCAGTGTAGATATTTTAACCCAAGTACGACAGTAAGTAAGACGGAAGTATAGCTAACGGTAAGCGATTTCAGTGCTCTTCAATTGTGAGCGTATGAAAGTACCTTTTTATACTAGTATTACAGTATTTTTTAACTGTACTAGTATATCTTGATAGCTCTGTAACTTCTTTAATGCTATTAACTTGCTTCATGAAGATCTTTTCAAAAGTTACTTATATACTCTATATAATACCACAAGTGTTATAAATAGGCGTAGATCTGACTCTTTAATTTAAACGCGGACAATATTCTCTGTTTTCGAATCAGAATATGACCTTCAGTAGGAATAGAAAAGAATATCTATACCTTTTATGATCTAGATCAGAGGTGGGGAACTTGCGGCCTCCGTGAGTTTTTTGTGCGGCCTTTAGCTCTTATATTAATTAAAATTTAATTATATAGATTACGACAATTTGAAAATTAATAAAATTAAATAACCTAAGCATTTTGCAAAAGCAAAATCTTTGTCCAAAAATAACCATTTTGCAAGACACTGGATAGAACTATTTCGATTGTCAACTATATTCGTGTAAATGCAATGTGTCATTGTAAATTTCGGCAGATGCTAAATTTAGACGAGGAAACGCACAGCGGTGATGTACCGTACTACTGCAAGGTTCGCTGGTTATCAACAGGACAGGTTTTGATAAATGTTTTAACTTTACAACTACAAATTTAAAACTTTTATCAAGAATAGGGAAGACTATGTAATCTATCAGATGAAGCATTTTGCAGAAACACTGCATTTTTGTCTGATATTATGACAACACAAAACAATTTAAATATTTGACTGAAAGGTAAAACGAAGCATATATATGAAATGCGGCAAAAGATCCAAACGTTTCGAAAAAAATTAACATTTTTCAAAACATTGCTTTCTTGCTCAGATATATCTGCAGAACACTTCCCGGAGCTAGCAAAAATGTCAAAATAAAACATTTGATGAATATGTAGGCGTCTTGGATGTTTTAATAGAAGAATATATTTATTTTCAGATTTTGACGAGCACACTTCTGGTATGGAAATGGCATTTGAAGCACATTTAGTAGATATATCCAAAGCTTCTACGGAAGTACAAGGGAATTATTTGAGTTGCGGCAAAATAGTATCTTCAAATCTTTTTTTGACTCTAGAAAGAATCCCATAGATATCTGAAAAAATACTGCTGAATATCCATGCCTACAACAGCATGCAAGCCGTTTACTTTCCTGCTTTGGAAGTACTTACTGCTGTGAGTCACCACAAAAGTCTCATGACAAAAATTAAAACCAGTTAAGAACGCAAATTACAGATTCTTATTTAGAGGATTTACTAAGGTTAAATCTGCTCATTACGAAACTTGAACCAAACACTCAATTACTTTCAGACAAGAAATAAATGCAAATATCCCACTAAATTAAATTTTCCATCGGAATTTAATATTGTTTTACCTACTTATGCTAGGTCATTTTTTATAACTTAATATTATTACTTTTGTATTGTTTTCCTTATAATGTAATAAATTTATCCAAAAATACTTTTACTTTATTATTTTTATTTGAAACAATATTTAAATATATGTAGCTGTTTATTAAAGAATTATTAAAGATTAATGTTATAAATTATTAGCCTTATGTGAATACAAAAGCATTTTATATTGTAAATTTTTATTTTAATAAAGGACTTCATTTTTTTGCATTATTTGTATACACCGACGTGACAAAAGTCATGGGATAGCAATATGCAAATATAAAGATGGTAATAGTATCGCGTAGAAATGTATAAATACGAAGTGCTTTGGCAGGGCTTTCATTTGTGTTCAAGTTATTCATGTGAAGAGGCTTTGACGTGATTATGGCCGCACGAGGAGAATTAACAGACTTTGAACGCGGAATGGTAGCTGGAGCTAGACGCATGGGTCATTCCATTTCGGATATCGTTAGGGAATTCAACATTCCGAGATCCACAGTGTCAAGAGTCCCGAGAGTATCTAATTTCAGGCATAACATCCCACCATGGACAGCGTAGTGGCCGACCACCTGCACTTAACGACCGAGACCAGTGACGTCTGCGTAGCGTTGTCAATGTTCACAGACAAGCAACACTGCGTCAAATAACCGCAGAAATCAATGTGGGACGTACGAGGGACATGTCCGATAGGACAGTGCGGCGAAATTTGTCTTCCTTGGGCTATGCCAGCAGAAGACCGACTCGAGTGCCTTTACTGACAGCACGACATCGCCTGCAGCGACTCTCGTGAGCTCGTGAAATATCGGTTAGTCCCTAAACGAATGGAAAACCGTGGCTTGGTCAGATGAGTCACGATTTCAGTTGGTAAGAGCTGATGATAGGGTTCGAGTGTGGCGCAGACCCCACGAAGCCATGGACCCAAGTTGTCAACAAGGCACTGTTCAAGCTGGTGGTGGTTCCATAATGGTCTGGGCTGTTTTTACATGGCATGGACTCGGTCCTCTGGTGCAACTGAACCGATCATTGACTGGAAATGGATACCTTCAGCTACTTGGAGATCACCTACAGCCATTCATGGACTTCACGTACTCAAACAACGATGGGATTTTTTATGGATGACAATGCGCCATGTCACCGGGCCACAATTGTTCGTGATTGGTTAGAAGAACATTCTGGACAATTCCAGCGAATGATCTGGCCACCTAGATCGCCGACATGAATCCCATCGAACATTTATGGGACATCATCGAGAGGTCAGTTCGTGCCCAAAACCCTGCACCGTCAACACTTTCACAATTATGGACGTCTATAGAGGCAGCATGGCTCAATATTTCTGCAGGGGACTTCCAACGATTTTTTGAGCCCATGCCACATCGGGTTGCTGCACTTCGCCGGGCAAAAGGAGGACCGACAAAATATTAGGAGGTATCCCATGACTTTTGTCACTTCAGTGTATAATGCAATAGAACTATATAAAAACCATAATAATTTCACAGAAGTCGCATTTATAGGTATATCAATTTATGCGGTCTCCTTTATAACTTCCTAATTTAAATGTGGCCTCTCATGGTAAGAAGGTTTCCCACCTCTAGTCTAGATAATCATATTTTGTCAATGCTTCTTAGGTATGACTATAGTTGCAACAATCCCACAACCCCCCTCCGAAAATACCTTTGTGTTTGTTTACCTGCATCAGGAATCATTAACCATCACGCAAGTTCACCCAAAGAATTATTTTTTAAAACATTCATATTTTGTTTAGTTGCACTTGTTCCTAATTTCGATGAGAAGTGTGTTAATTGAATTAAATGAGTTCGTATTTCTTGAATTCTAAAACAAATCTCTTGCATAAAATTGTCTAATAAAACACTGTAAGAGTTTGCGTCTGAAATTTATTTTTTTCTTTGCTTTCAGTAACTGAAGACTTGATTCGTAAGTGTGCAGAGCACAATGAGTGCGAAATTTTCAGTTTAGAAGAATTATCTTTGCACCAGAGAAATGTTATAAAGTAAGAGTGCAACAAATTTTCATTCATAGTAATACTTTAGCAGAATTTTTATCCTCCTTTCTTTTGTTTGAAATATAAGAAATCGCCCCAAAATGGATGCCTAGAATAGAATGATTTCTAAACTTATATTAATTAATTTATTAAATTGATAATAACGCCAATGTTTTTTAAAACTTAATAATATAATTTAAAATTATTACATGCATTTTTTACCAACATTAGTGAGATAAAATTGCTAAACATTTTAAAGTTTGTTTTGATGATTTTATAATGTTGTTAAGAAATGTTGTAAATCATATAAATAACGTAACTTTAAATTAATTGTTGCATCATTTACAAATAACTAAGGTAACAGAACAAGTAATGCAAAAATATACTTCATCTCTATTTAATATTTTATTACAGCATGCTTATAAAATTTGCTTTTGTGTTAGACACAATTCGATTAAATGAACCAGAATCACATTTTGCGATCAACGACGTTTGAAGAAACACCTTTTTTAGAAAATTTGCTAAACCTCTTAATTTCTAGAAATTTCCAATTGGAATTAAATTGCAAACATTTTCACCATATTCCCTTTCACTTAAAAAATGTTGGACTATTTCTCTTCAATTAAATTGCAAACAATTTCTCCAAATTCCATATCATTTGTAAGATTCCTAAGTGTTTTAATCTATAGCTAAATGAGGAACCATAAGAACTGGTAAGCGAATAATTCGCTTGAGTTCAGTTGAATAGAGAGCAGAACGCAACGAAGGGTTGAAATACCCTTTACTATTCAAAATAAATTTAACAGCCGTCTCCTTCTTGGAGTTTACGATAAAGCCTCAACTTGGGCTTGAACTCAGGAATACAAAGAATGTAAAACTTAACTAAAAAGATATAGCCGAAGCTATCAAGATTCTACTAGAGTTGGCCCCTTAACGCTAAGTAACGGCGAAGCTATCAAGGGCCTAAAGTACGGCCGAGCGCAGTAATAACTTAAGAGAATAGATTATAAGAGAGAGAAAGAAGAATAGAATAGACTTAAGAGAAGAATAGAAGAGTAATAACTTAAGAGAATAGATTGAATAGGCGAACGCCTGCTAGTCAGAATCACTGGCTCTCTAACTCCAGTAGAACTTCACAGTTAAGTATTCCTCCTCATTTGCATTCAAACGCGATTCTAAAAATACGTTCTGGCCGGAAGTTGTAAGCTTGAAATTAAGAAGAGATAAGAAGGTAACTTTAACTCAAATTTTAACTGTTAGATAAATTAACATATTTTTTACACACTCAAGAAATGTTGGGGGTCGAAATCAAAACAATGAGCTACCGGGAGTATTAAGGGCATGTTTTCAAAATTTTAATAGCAGTTTTTCAGACATAGTTGCTGTATTTATTAATTTCATATTTTATGTATTTACTCATGAATTTCTATTGCAGAATTGAGCATATTGATAGGTGGTGCAAGGACTTAAAAATACTTTATTTACACAGCAATCTTATTTCAAAGACTGGTAAGTTTATAACTGTTTCTTCTCTCTTTTTCTGATGTAGCTATTTAAATAAAATAGACTTCCAAATTGTCTAAAAGAACGAATGTTATAATAATGCATTACATTTTCTTTCTCAGAAAATCTAAGTCATTTAAAAAAGTTGGAGTACATTAATTTCACTTTGAATAATATAACCAGGGTAGAAAACCTTGAAGGTGAGTACATTTAAATATTTAAAAGAATTCATTGGCTTCTTTTTACTCAATTACTTTAGTCAATAAATAAAAAATGATCTCAATTCCTTGTAATAAAGTGTTTAAACCTGGTTACAGTAACGAAATGCATGTTGAACTTAATAAGCGTTTTTCATTAAACAGAGAACAATGCAATGTTTGTAGAATTTACTCAGAAGTTAAATAAAATTACAAATTAATATAGTGTTGAAAACAATTTTTTTTTCAAATTTTTAACTAAATCGAAAAACCAGAAAGATTATCTGTTTCTAGAGAGGTTATTATTACGAGTATATAGTAATGTAGCAATGTGATATGTAACCCAAAATTGCTAGATTTAATGATTAAACTAAATCTTTATACAACTTATATTACACCTATCATATTGTAGCAGTGAATGCTGACCATAAACAAAAACAGATGAAGAAAGACTTGTAATCTTTGAAAGAAAAATTCAGAGACAATAATAGACGGAGAAATTTGTTGAAATCTGTAGAAGATATAAATAACGTCCGAGTCATCAAATCTTATCGTATCAAGAGGCCTGGACATATTTTTAGATGTGACAACTTGAACTCATTAAAAAGGTGACCTTTGCAAGTTTATAGAGTACCAGGAAAAGAGGAAGACCTCGCACAAGATGGATACACTATGTGAAGACAGATTTCAAGACATTAAAAATCAATCGTTGGCGGACTGTAGCGACTAATCGGATCCGTTGGAAGAATCGTATTGCGATGGCTTTGTCTGTAATAGGCTGTAGTGCAGTTTGAAGGAGAAGAAGATGGTAATCTTCCTCCTCCTATTTTTTCCGAGGGCAGTTGAATGTTTAGAAATAAATGTTTATGTAAAAATGGCATTTTACAATTCATAAAGCTTGGGAATTTATGAAATGCTCTGTATTACTGAATTATTTGCAAGATTCTTTCTTATTTGCACTCTTATTACATTTTATGAATATTTTTCACGAAGTTTGAGTTCTTGTAAACACCAGTATTTTTATGTCAGATTTTTAGGCAATGATGTAGTTCAGAATCTACCGCTTTTAGTAGTTAGTTATTTCTTAGATGGTGCTACTAAAACACTATTTTTAAATGCGAAATAAATACAAATAATTAAGAATACATAAAGGAAAATGATTCCATTAATTAATTTACTAACCTATTAAATCTGTTATTCCGTTAAATTTAAATGTCTTCCAATTTTGCAAAATAAAAGCAAAAGTAGCTCTTTTGTTGTAGTTTTTATGGCTTGTTCAACCGCATATTTTGAATATAGTGCAGCATAGTCAAAAACCAGTCATCACTTTTATTAACGGACCTATGGTTAGACGAAATTCAGTAGCATTCAAACGTGCGACATAGTGGCAGGAAAAAGAAATAATTAAAACTAAAATCAATTGTAGTGACTATAAAATTGAATCTAAAAATAAATTAATTAGTTGTTTTTAAAAGATGAAATTTTACTTTAAATGTGACAACAAATACAAGAAATTACATAAACGAAAACCCTTCCATAAAACTTGTTTAGCAATTAAACGCATGGGTTAAAGCTTGAAGCGTTTAATTGCTTCATAAAGAGAGCTTGTTTTCATAATGAGCTTATTCTAGTTGCATTTAACATAATTCTAAGACTACATTTAATGCTTATAAATGTAATGAGTTATTCTCAGTCGCAAACCTATTTTAAATATCAAATCTGAGAACTTTTTGATTATCTTATAATGTATTTTTTAGGAAAGTGTTCGGAGCTTTACTTAAAGCATCACTTGCAGTTTATCAATTTTATCCAAAATTTAATATCTTGATCTTATTAACATAAAAGTCTTAAATATTAAAATTGAAAAGTTTTGGCTTATATTTTGGTATAGTTTTTCATCAAAAGCTCTTATGAGCTTCAAGTAAATAATCACTTCCGATTGTCCAATTTTAATAACGGAAAAGGCTGTTTACCTAAAGGAAGAGATGCCTTTTGGGAAGACATAAAGACTGTTTGCCTAAAGGAAGAGATGCCTTTTGAGAAGACATTTTTAAAGATAAACTGACTCATACTCATGTTCTCATGAGAGTTCACTCTCATAGGGAAAATCTCGAAGACACCTTGCAGCCTTTTGAGAAGACATTTTTAAAGATAAACTGGCTCATACCCATGTTGCACATAGGGAAAATCTCGAAGACACCTTGCAACCAACCTTTTCGCCAGGATTTGGACGCAGGTCAAATTAGCAGTATTCGGCGATCTTGTCTGCTGACCAGTGATTGGACGTACCTAGCATTTTACATGAAATTTATATAGCTAATAACTTGACAGTATTGCAAAATAGAAAAAAAGAAACATTCACTTGAATAAGTTATTAAGCTTGTAGGGATTTATATTTAGTTTTACTAATAATTTAAATTTTATTTCAGACTTTCTATAAGCCTTCAATTCCCTAAGTGTCAGTGCCGAATGGTTAAATTGGGTAGCGCGCGTGATGAGAATGCAAATTCTACCTTGAGGAGAAAAGTTTAAATACTGAGGTTTTAGAAGGGAAGTGAGAGAGTTGGGCTCGCACAGCCGTAACTGCCATAGGGTACAATTTACTGATTGCTGGTTTAAGTGGCTAAAATGCATTTATATGCTGCCACTAGTTGTAGAAGGAGGGTTCGAAGTTCGGGTTCTCGCTGAGCCCTGTAGGATTAGTTTATCACTTGTTAAACAGTTCAACTTTTGATTTTTAAATTATCTGACTCTTCAGTTACCGCCCAAGTGGAGGCGAAGTTTGTTAGCGTCAAGTTGACGCAGTGTAAATTTTAAAGAGTTAATAAAGGGTTTGAACCTTTTCTTCTGTGTAGTTTCCTGTTACTCCTGTATCCAGCTAGAGGGTAAAGCAGCTGGACACTACAAGCTAGCTGTTAATTTTGAGATAAAATCTATACAGATGGACTGAATATAATTATTAACTTTGTTTATACATGTAGTTAAAGTGATTTATTTTTTCCAACTAATTTTTATAATTCGAGGATCTTAAGTATAGGAGAAAGATAAAGTTTTGAATGCTTCGTGTGCCTTTGAAGTAAACGGAGAAAAAAAAATCGATTCCTAAACTCTCCTTTCCCAATAATAAAAGTTTACGGATCCATTCACTTATTTAACTTATTTGGTTCCCTAGTGAGACTATTAGATGACTTACACCCCATAATAAAACTACAAACTCAAGAAATTTTTAAGCAAACCCTTCTTTTTAAAATTTGAACTTAATAAACGCACGATCTGTGTTGATAGAATAATCTCAGCAGCTTGCGAGATTTAACTAGCATGAAATAATTAAAAAATTAAAATTAAAAAAATTAAAATTAAAAAGTTAAAATTGAACTCATATAACTTTGGAGACTCGTAAATGCAAATCCTATACATGTTGGCTCAGTGTAATTTAACTAGCAACTCGGATAGCAAAAGACTAATGCCGATCTAAAAGTAATTTTCAGAGATAGGCGAGGAAAAAGCACAATGATCATCGTCGATGCCAAAGTCGCTAACATTAGCTTATATCCCAGCAAGAGTTAGAAAAGTAGAACTTATGGTACAGGTAAAATAATAAGATAATGTGCTCAGCAGCATACAAATTCACTCAATAATCCAGCTATTTCAATGTCAGTCAGTCATTGCACCATTATACATGTTACCTTCAGATTAAATAGAAGCATTTAAACTCTAGAATATTCTGATAAGAAATTACACAAAAAAATAATTTTCTCTATACCAAATCATATAACAATTTATTTTAGCTTCCAGATTTCTTACAATATTATAAAAAACTTGAGTTTACGTTTCAGGATGTGAATCGTTGAAGAAACTAGATTTCACGGTCAATTTCATTGGAGAACTGACGTCCATCGAAAGTCTGCAGGGTAATTACAATCTGGAAGAACTGTAAGTACATTTTTGAAAACTTTTCTACAGTTTCTGAAGTGAATGCAGTTAGATTAAAAATTAAACTTGCGAGATTCAAGCAAATGTTCTAATAATACTGAAGTACGACACATTTAAAAACTGGATCCTTAATATTCCATCAGATACTGATTTAATATTATTATGCGTATTTTGATAAAAAAAAAAAAGAGAAAATTTTGCTACATGTAGAAAGGCATAATTTACAAATTACGGCTATCAAATCAGGAAATAAATCACCATATTTTTAATCACATTTCGAAAACAAAACTTAGAAAATCCGAAATTTTTCAGATTTTATTACATTCAAAGGGACTTTTTTAACGCTTTGTGTGTTACCTTCACTTCACTAAATATCATGTTCTCCGTACTTAAACCACACGAAGTTCAATTCAACAGAAATATCACAAAATATTTAAAAACAGCTATATTTAGAATTTCTGACAGACATGATCGCGCACTGCATATATTCTTTTCTCTCTCATACAGTGTTGCCATTGCTCGCTTTGAAATCGTTGAGTTTGTTAATCAAACAGTCGTTAAAGTTTTACACAGTATGAAATAGATAGTAAAACTATTTGCAATTCAAATTTCGGGTTTCCAAGTCCCCATGCTTGGGGGGGGGGGGGGGAGATTACGTTATTCAAAATTTGATGGTTGTAGATACCGTCGTTTTTTTCACAGTGCGAGAAACATACATACACTCATTCAAATTCGTCATTATTTAATTTCTTTAAATATAATACAGGGCAATAATATTTGGTGGCAACAATTTAAAAAGTGATTCGCCATTCATAGTGAAACGCCACAAAATACCGTTTTGAGACTAATAGAACTTCTGGGCTAATGCTCCTTTGGACTAATAATAAATAATCACTTTTTTTTCCTGAGAGTAAATTCTGTGAGCCATTCATAGCTGTTTTCATAAATTAAGCATTACTATCCAAAGTAATGTACCTCAGCTTTGTTAACAAATAATAAATAAAATAATCTTTCGTAAATTAACAGGCATAGAGTGTTCGTTAAGTTACTGAAGGGAAATAATTTATGTCGCAAAAAAGCGACCTTTTTTTTTCCTTTAATAGTGATCAATATGTAGGTGGCAACTGAAATAAGTTTAACATAGCATCACAGACTTTCACGAATGAGACAAATGAAAGGTTCATTCAGTAATCTCTGCTCAGAAAGAGGAAGGACTTGAACACAGAACAGTGATACGAAACCTGTTAAATGCAAAAGAGAAATAACCCTAATTCCATACAAATATCGATTAATGTTAAACAGATGGGTTTTTAGCTGTCAGAGTTGACTTGCCGATTGATTACAACTGGGAAGGAATATTTTTGTTCTAGGTAAAAAGATATCGCAAAATAATCTTTATTGATAAATTCTTAATAGCATTACCTCTGCCAAAAAATTTGAATTTTGTCCTATGCCATCTAAGATGAGTTAATATCAACACATATGAGAATCTGTCCTTGCATTCCCAAGTTTGTCTTGTTTGTGCTAAATTGATTATGTCATATTATAATAAAATAACAGCTTTCATTTTTTTAATAATAGAATTCTACTTTCAGATACTTAACAGGAAATCCTTGTACGGAATTTGAAGGCTACCGTGAATATGTTATAGCCACATTACCGCAATTAGTGGTATGTAAACATGATTTTTGGAATTTTAATGCAATAAAATTCAAGCTTAGCTAAAATCGAGTTTAACCGAAATGTTGAGAAAACTCAGTATACTATAGACATAACTGCGAAACGTATGTATGCTCAAGTGATGATTCCAAACTAATTTACACTGGTGTGCAAAAATTAAGGACGAGACGGTTTTTTTTCAATATAACTTTGTACAAAAGCTTTCCAAATCAACACATTTAATACCGTAAGATCCCCAATACGTAAGGACATGAGTAATGTAAGCAACACTTACTAAAAGAGAAATCAGAGGGATAAAAAGAAGCTTTATTGAAAAAGTAGCATGGAGCGCAATGCGACTAAAGGGCGAAACATCCCTGTGATGGGTGTCCAGCAAGAAACATCCGGTCTTTAATAGGGGATATGATCTCCCCTGACTGCTAGGCAGGTTTCACAGCGTCTGCCCATGCTGAGAATGAGGGTGTAATGAGTTGTTGAGGCATTGCTGCCCATTCGTCTTGCAGCGCCAATCGAAGTTCCGGAATCGTTACTGGTGGTAATGTACGAGCTGCCAAGCGTCTGCCTAGAAAATCCCATACATGCTCGATGGGATTGAGATCAGGAGATCGTGCCGGCCAATCCATACGTTCAATATCCTAACTCTCTAGAGCTGTTCGGCAGCTACTGTGCGATGACATTGGTGCATTGTCGTCCATGAAAAGGAACTGCGGACCATAGCGCTCTAAAAGACGCACATATGGAAGAAGAATCTCGTTACAATAACGGATCCCGTTGACTGAACCTGCGTCGAAGATGTGAAGGTCTGTACGACTACCAAGCATGATGCCTCCCCAAACGAGAACACCGCCACCTCCATACCTGTCCCTTTCAATGATGTTCGAGGGATGATTGCGGCTTCCCCGCTCTCTCCAGATGAGTATGCGATGAGAATCGCTACTCAGATTGAATCTGCTCTCATCTGTAAAGAGTACTCGTCCCCATTCATTGTCTCTCCAATTCCGGTGTTCCCGGCACCACAGAGAACGCCTTCTTCGATGGGCAGGCGTTAGAGGTACACACTGTCGTGCAAACAGACCACCACCGTGCATTCTTCTGGCCACGGTAAAACGCGCTATCGGTCGTCCAGTCGCCTGTGTCGTGTGTCTAGCGATTTCTCCCGCTGTCTGCCGCCTGTTTCTTCTGGCCTAAGGCAATATACCGGTCATCTGCGGGTGTAGTTCCTCGTGGACGACCACTACTAAACCCCCGGATAGCTGTTCCTGTAGTTTGAAATTGTCTCCAAAGTCGTGAAACGATGCTGTGAGCAATTCCGAACTCTGCAGCCACACTTGTCACACTGCGGCCTTAATCCAACTTCCCAATGATTCGACCTCGGGTAAAAGCATCCAGATGTCGTCTAACAGATTGATTATTCACCATTTCTCGCTGAGGTAGCAACTCGGTGTGATTTTAACTGCTATACGGCGTGCAATCTCTTTGCCAGAAATACTGATCTTACACCGACAACATGCTTTATACTACTCAGACACTCCCCCATTACGTCTACCTGCATATCTGCGCATGTGCTACCGTACATCACCTTACTTAATCTCCTGATTGGTCTTTCTGTCCGCTCTGCCTCTTCGTTCAGCTGATATGCTCATATTTCGACTTCGTCCTTAATTTTTGCACACCAGTGTATACTAATTTAAAGACTAATATCAATTAAAATTTGCTTTATATTAAAAGTTACCTCAAAGTTTTTAAACTATCAAAAACGGAAATATCTCTAAAATTATAATAAGTCATAGAAACAGCATGTATCAAATAAATTTTTCCCATTCTTAAAAATATTGTCATTGACCAACCAATAATGCTGAAACTACTACACGCTATAATTTCTAAAACAGAAACTTTAAGTTATTTATGTAATAATATATAGCTAGTTTTTTTATTTTATATTTTTAATTAGCTACTATTTTTGTGAATACTCGGGCGTTTAATCTGCACTGCTATTAATTTTTCATCGAATACATTTTTAACTTCGTTCTTTGGACACTGGCTCGGTGAGTTAAATATGATAAATGTACGTAATAACGATTAAAACCGAAAATTTTTTGGCAGTTATCGATCTGTATCATATACCTTATAATGATTTCAATGAAAATATAAATAAAATGTAATTATAATTAAAAATTAATAATTTTAAAGTGAAATCTTTGTAGACTCTATTTGTGCAAAATATCATTTGCAAATTTTATTTTGCACAATTCTTGTGTTGAATGTCTCGCATTTCTCTTGTTTGGTCTACTCCAATAGAAAATGTATATGATATGGGTTTTAAGTAAAGAGTGAGAATCTGAATTTGAGAGAAAGCTGGCAACCTTATTTCATCCTACGATCCTAAAATTTTTCTGTTATTGGTTGTCTTAATCAGAGAGTTTATCTTTGTATCTTTGTTTGAAGTTACATTAGAAACTGCGCATTAGCGGAGCCAGGTTGCTAGACTTTTAAGTTTTGACTTGCAAATAATCGGAATTATTGTTGTCTGTTCAGTCCTAAATATTAAAATTTTCTAATGGTATATTTTCTGATGTTTTATTTCAAGCTGAAGTGAGAATAAATTTTTTAGTTGCATCTATCTAATTTTAGTCATGCAGGATTCTGGGATTGAAAAGTAAAGAATGAGGACATTTCTTCCCTCAGTCTAAGGTGGTTAGACTAGTGTTTTAGATTAAATCCAAACTGAGTTTAAATTTTCATATTATCGTCGGAAACAATGCGTGCAGAGGTGAGATATCCCATTCTTTATGAAAACTAAGCTGGTGTAACAGAATAGGTATATTGGAAGCTGCGCTGCAGTAAAGGGACGAAATAAAATTGAAAAATTTGAGGAAAATAACTTTCCTTATTTCTGAATAATGTAGCTATGGAAATATAGTACAGTATATAATTGCGTAGGTGTAATGTATTACACATTTTTGCTATCTTTATTCCACGAAATTAATCACCATAGATTAATTTGAAGAACTAATATTAGCCAAAAGGTCTACGTTCTGATTAGTTTCGCTGAGGCATTTTTCTCTCGTAATCATTTCTTTTATATATTTAAACAGCATGTAAGGAATAAATAATTTATGATACACAAATGGCTGAATATAGATTTTATTACGATAAATCCCCGTTTCCATTTTTTAAATTAGTATGAAAAATATGAATGTATCCTCCTCCATTATGAAAAATGTTTATGGTTTGTTATATAGAAATATTTAATGCAAATTGTACTTACAGAGATTAGATGGTGAGAAGATTAAAAAATCAGAAAGAATCTTGGCTATGCAGGTAATAATTGTTAATTATTTTTATTGCAGATAAAGACTAATAGATGACATTTATTTAATATTTATAAAATTCAGGAAATTTTATTTAATATTTTATTGGTTAAATGAATTAAAAGTGATGATAAAAATTTCAGAGCAAAAGTAATTTATGAAAATTGCTACTATTGATATGGCTGACTGAAGCACATTCTTTAGAAAGAGAACTTATGCATTTGATGTTCATTAGCATGTTGAACGCCTAGCTAGCTTATCTTTCTGCTTATCACCAAGGTCGATTTGCAAAAGCGGATGCTCAATGCAGAACTCTCAGGGATCCTCGTCTCTTCTTACCGGTTCAACGTAATAGATGCTATTGATGCAAACTATATACCAGGTATCTCTAATCAGAATAACAAATTTCTAATCGAGAACATCGTATATTGCTATTTAGAACCAGAAGCATCCCTGATTTCTAGTATTATAAAATGAAGAAATGTGCGTATATGAGTTCGTCACTTAACATAAAATGTAAAGACCTGAAGTGCAAAATTTCATACACACGCTGTGTGAATGGAGAAGGTGTGCGCACAATGAAACGATTTTTTCAGGATTAAATTAAGATTTTCTTTATCTAATGCTGTAACGACTTATTGCGCATAGTTGCTCTCTTAGCTGCAAACTAAAATTCTCAGAATTTTACTGCTTGCACTGTAGGAAAGCGACAAAACAAAATCTTTTAAGTGAAGCTTATATCGAATTTTTAGCATAATTTATTGATTCTTTTTTGACAATTTTTCGGAAAGCCCTGTATTCTTTTGACCATTTTTCATGCATTATTTTTAAATTCCATTTTTCAAAAATGCATCGATTGTAAAGTTTTGCAATTTTCACAGTTTATAAAGCAAACTCTTCACAGTAATTTAAAAATAAGTACGATGAAAAATATTATTGGGCTATTTTTCTAGATTCTTTAAATAGGCATTAATATAATTTTAGGAAGGGCAAGTTTTCATTCTTCGACGAGCATCTCGTCACTTTCATTCGAAGCATAATTTGAAGAACATGAGGTTATTATTCGTCACACTGTTTTCCCCCTTCTACATAGATTTCTCTAATTTTGGCTATTTATTAATCTCATTTCTTCTCTCGCCATAAAACTCATTTTCAAAGAAATTAAGTTTATTCTAGAAGCCGTCTAAGATCTTATAATTGTTATATTTTAATAGATTTTGCATCTAATATTCGTGCCATTTTATTATCCTTATTTTCCTATTTTGATTTATTTCAAAACAAGAGAGTTTAAGAGTTGACTGGCATTTAAAATTATTAGCAACGAAATTTGTCGTGTCATTTATAGTTTTTTTATCTGTTTGAAAGTTTGGATGAATTTTTCTAGGCATTTTATTTTAAAGGATGATTCTCATAATTTCACTGTATTATTATATTATTATACTCAATTTTAGTGAAATTCTAACATCTAAAACTGTATTGCTTATAAAACTATGAAAATTTCCCCTCCCGGTTTTAAAATAGGAATGATTAAAAACTTAATTAGGGGATATTCGAATTCTTTTTTAAAATAGGCATCAGCCTTCTGGCTTACGTAACACGCCAAACCGAAGGTTGGCTACACAAGCAATCAATGCTACAGATTTATCTAACCAAATTCTTAAAAATACTAGGTTTTCTTGCAGCTTTAGGGGAAGATTGTTTGCGTTTATGCTATTGGTATACTGCCTCTTGTCAGTCAGAAGAGGATTCATATTTTTAAAGTGCAGATTGGAGCTTCTGAGATCTTATTTTACGTTAAAATATTGTTGAAAGCAATTAAGTTACCTAAAATCCTGCGGCAGTCGCTAAAACTTGAACAATAAATAGTTACACCTAACAATATTCGAGCCTTTATGAAAAATGGTTTGAAGAATGCCAATGTTTCCCAAATAATGCTTGATTTTGAAGGGTTTGGTGTAAGGCAATTCTTAGATGATGAGCTGATAAATGAGAAAATTTTCATCAATGTCATGAATTCATGATATGAGAAATACTTATTGAATTAAAAAGTGAAGTTTGATAAACTTTTTTCTCACATTCTCAATTATAACCTTCGTGAATTTGTCAATATATCTGAACTTTCCTCATTTATTTCATAAAAGATAGCCAGAGTTGATTAGGTGACTAAGTGATTACGATAAAGTTCTTCAGAGCTATTTGGTTAGAAGGGATACTTTTGTGGAGAAGTTCCTAAGAAAAACTGACAGTTATGCACTTCTCGCATGATGAAAATCACAGAACCACTATGCAACTGACTCATTTTCTGAGAAACAAATTGGGAGCGTTTAACTGCCTTATTCATTCTGCTGTTCTTACGGCTTATGACAGTCAGAGAGATAATTAACTTCTCTAAAAAAAGTCCTTAAGACCAACATTTTATGTATTTTTATTTATATAACATTAATCATTCGCAATAATAATTTTTTAGAAAGTAGCGTAATACTTCCATCAGATCTAATTTCTTCAGATTACCATACTTGCTTTTAATACAAGTTCCTTTTATTTCTAGAAATATAGCAAAGTAAGAGGAGAAGTTCTAGAGCAACAAAAACGGTATCTACTGAAAGTAAGTTTTGTAACTGTTTGTAGATTATTTATTCCGCTGTGAATTTTGTTTTGCCTACTTACTAACATTTTTTTCCTTATAATTTCATAATTTGTTGCAGCTAAAAATAATTTCTCATATCTTTTTGCAGTTAAAAATATCATATTGTTACAGAAAACTTCCTCTAAGACTACCGCAGCGCTTCCATATGAATTTTATCTTCTATAGCAGTAGCCGCCGCCGCCCAGTCAGGATAGTGGTAAGCGATGCTGATTGCTGTACCGAACAGCCCGGGTTCGAATTCCTGGAGGTTGTTTGTAAATGTGTGGTGACTGTGCGGCATTGGGCCACTCTAAATATGCGGCGAGCCGAAAGTCTCTTCGAGATGTTGGTGTTAAGGGAGGAAGGATGGGAGAACATCAAATCCATCGTCCTCGAGTACACTGCATCAAAACTGGGGACGAAACTGAGCAAAGTTATACTATTACCTACATGGTGCTCAAGGCTCTTGCCGACGAATGCACAATCTTGCGCTCCTTTCCACGATGAATTCCGTAGGCTTGCTAGGAATAGTAATAATTACTAGGAAATATGTATAATTATATCAAAACAAAGAGCTTAAAAATTTATCTTATAATAAATTGGGCGTTAGCAAGCCCTTCTGACTTCTTTATAATTTCTTAAGGTAGCGAATGTATATATATTTAAATTTAAAGTAATCACTCGTTGATTATTCAATTGCATTCCAGAGATTAGATTTATGAAGAGGTAACTGTAACTAAATTCAGAAAAGAAGTAATCTATTTTTCTATTCCCTAAAAATGATATATTTTGCAGATAAAACTTTAATCTCCACTTTCAGATTTTAATGAACATTTTCTTGCAGGTTGGACAAAATGAAACTGTTTTGAATGATTTCGAAGATGGGGACCTTGTTTACGACACAAAAGAATCAGATGATGCAAACAAGGAGGACAAGTAATTATTGATTTACTTGTTTTACCTACACAAAGGATAAGATTAAACCTCTCATTTTCTAAATAAAGGAGAGAAAAATATGTGCGAGATTTTTGCGTCTGAAGAATTCTTCTGTTCCTTCAGGATTTTTTTCTCTCTCTTTTCGAATCATTTTTATTTCGTTCGAAACCATCTTTCATTTTGTTCACAGTTTGAGACATTCTGTAAGGAATTCTTTTTTCATAAAGACACGTAATTTTAATTTTCTCTCTTTTGAAATCTATTACAATAGGTGTCTTTGAATTGCAATTTATTTTTCCCTACAAACTTCAGGTACTCTTGTTTCCACAATATAACTATTATTATTTACATAAATTGTTTTCTAATAAAAATCTAAACTTTTATTTAAATTGAAAAATTAAGATTTGATCTAAATTCCATGCATGTTAAATATATTACTCAAGGAAATGCTCAAGCAATACATCTTCCAGCTATCATAGTTTTTCAGAGGTCTAAATATTTTCTTAATCCGTTTTACATTGAGAATCCAACTATATCATGAGTGCAAAGTCTTCAAAAAAGGTGATCCATTATTTATTAGATTGCATATAGTTAGTCAGTTAAATTATCTAAAAAGCAGGTAGTTAGCAGTATCGTTGTTTTAACTAAATATTAATTATTATAAAAACTTATATACCATTTTAGTTCACCATTGCTTCACCAAGCATCTCTGCTAGCCACATGGTATGAGTAATTCATATGGTTCAAGTTAAAAGCTAAAGGTCTTTATAAAATCTGTTTTTGTTGGGATTTATAATTTGTTTCAAAATAAATTGATTCAGTATTAAATTTTACTGAAAGTCAAATACATTCTTCGAGCCTTGTATTCAAATTTATACACCGAATACCATCAGAAGTGGTTTGGGAAAATTCAATAAATGTTATTGTTTCTTTTCTTTCAGTTTCTGGAAGCAACAAACAAAACACACTCCTCAGTCTAGAATAGAAATCTTCAAACACATGCAGAAGCTTTCAAAGAAAAGTGACAGGTACGTTAATTCTGTACAGCTTATCGTTAATGAGCGGGAATTTGTCAATGAATGTAGTCCAACATATAAATATTGTTAATAAACAAAATGTCTTGCTAACTCATTGAATTAAGCTATCCTCTTTAAGAAAACCTCTTTTGAATTGTTAAGAAATATATATTGAATATTTAAAACATTTATATTAAAATTCCTCCATTTCACGTTAAAAATCTACTGAGATATACTTAAAAATATTTTAATGGTTAAAATACAATTATTATAACTAATGCAGTTTCACAGAAGACAGAATAACTAATCGCTAGAACAGTAACTTTGTTTTGCAAACTGTTTCTAAATTTGTTCTTTGAAATGTTGAATAGCACCTATTTATGTCATTGGTAGCTGCTAAACGATTACCTATATCGATGAATTCATGCTTGAATATTTTCATGAATTTTCTCCACATACGAACACTTTTTGACTCGTCAAATTTCCATGAATATTTTATTAACAGGACGTTTTTAATTATATGTAATATATCATAAATTAAACTTTATTTTTACAAGGCCTTCCATTAGTAATATGGAAATAGCTTTCATGAACTTCTCTATCTTGTTTTAAGGAAACCTACAATTGCAAACACATGTCTGTGATCAATATTGAATAAAATAAAGCCTGTGACTATCTTTTTCCAGCATCTTTAGTATTATTGATGAGTCTACTTAAATGGGTGAACATTCATGGACAAATGGACAAAGTTATTTAATCCAGTATTTTCATAGCATTTATAATAACTTGGAAGGGAAGTGTGTAACAATGTTATTTTCAAAAATGTTTAATGAATTGCCTCATTTTAGCTACAAAGGAACAAAGAAACCTAAGCCACCTCGAAAACTAATTACAGAGGACGGAAGAGTTTTGAACGTAAACGAACCCAAGTAAGTTAATATGATATATAACTTCTTCAATGATCATCACTTCTTTGAACTCATTTTAACTTTCTCTACGGGGTTTATTTTAATTTATGTCCATACAGAGTTTCTTAAAACTTATTTTTAAAGAAATGCTTATGTTAGATCGTTGTAGAAGATTTTGTAACGTTAACATAATTTTACATTATTCCAGTTTAAAAATTCGAGAAATATTCCATATTTTAAACTTTATATTTTTCGAAATTTTAAATTATACAGAGTCATAAAGTATTTTAGCAAAATAGTGTTGATAAGTCTTCAGTGATTATCGATGGAAGACATCAATTCTTGATTTTTGTACTAAGATTTGTGTCCTTTAATGAGAAATTTTATAACTTTGTTAGTCTGACCTTTTGACATAAATAACAGAGAGTTTCTTAGCTAAAATGTATCCAACAATTGAGAATCTTGCTTGATATGGAGCATGAGTTAGTAAAGAATGCAGAGATGTAAAGAATGTAGAGACTGCTGTGCTTTTCAGAGCAGGAAACATAAAAATCAACTGTCCTCACCACGATTCGGAACCACGGATCCAGTGCAAATAGAAATGTTTGATTTGCACTGCTCTTCAGGGCATCCATGCTTTGACTCGCTCAGTGAAGTTAAAGATGTGAAAAGATTTTAAATGTTGCTTTGTTTTAAATAAACGTTTTAGGATAAATTCTTTCTGAAAAGAGGTACGATTTGTCCCAGTAAATTTACTGCTGTAGCACAGACAGGGGATTTCCTCCCAAAATGAATATTCTTCAAATAGTTTTACATATTTCAGTAACAAAAAACAACGCAAAGCAATTATAACGAATACAGACTTACAGAAGAGAATGGATTACATAGCTTTACCTTAAAAGATATCCAAACTGTTGCACTATTTAATTATCTCTTGGGTTCCTAAATGAGTAAAAATTGTCAATTACTAACTTTCTTTAAGATAGTTGACATCCGACTAAAATCACACAGAAATTTTTGGAGTAAAAATAAAATGAATACGTATTTTCATCTCTTTTAATTCTGAATGGAAGATGAAAATTTGTAACGATTTCCACGCAAGAGAGTTGGAGGTCTTTTAATAAGAAACAAATTCTAAAATTCTAATGAATTCCAAAACTAGCTCTTATAGTAATAGTAAATACTTCAAATTCATTAAAATTAAAAGTATTTATTTGTGTATTTAAATGTTTATCTCATACCTTTCATTTTCAGACTAGACTTTGAATTTATTGATGATGAAGAAAACAATTGCTACAAATTAGATTTGGCAGTTTACAGGTAATGTACAAGAAAGAAAAAGTACTGCATTCTAATCTTCATTCAGTATTGAATACTTTGATTTATATGAAATCCTTTTTATCATTTCTTATAGTTTTTGCTCCATATAATGAAAGGTATCATTGCTATACACATCGATATAGTTGTTGTAAAATAAATATATTATTTATTACTGGCACTTCTAACTTCTAATGATTTTAGGTTTAAACTGCGTTTGTTTGTGCTATAATTTATAGTTAATGTAATGCATTTAGTAAAAAGAATTTTATAGTCTTATTTTACAAAATGTAACGCTACATTCAAGTCAGCTATCCGGTTACAAAAACATTTTAATGTTTCTTAAGTAACGAAGGACACCTTAATACATTTTATTTCTTGATTTTAAATTCCTAATTTGAACTATAAAGTGCAATGGTCGCTATCTTCGAACCTGCTTTTGATCCTGTTTGTACGTTTTCTAGATCGTTATGATAATACAGTTGATGCTAGAAAGGCAAGCCGTAACGTATTCGTATGACATCAAACCACGTATCTACTAAAATAAAAGTGTGGTGTAGAATGGTTCAGATTTATCCTCATTGGTTAATAATAAATTCGGTTCCCAAATCTGAAATCATTGTTTGCTGTAAATACCTGCATTATTAACTTTATGTGAGAATCATTTGACGGGGATTTATTTTGAAATAATGCAGTTTAGAACGATGTATTATAAACAGTAACTATTTTTCTGACAGAAATGGAAAATAACACAAATTAAAATGTAAGATTAAGCAACTATAGCAAATTAAAGTTAGACTATTGATTTCAATATTTTTATCTTACACATATTTAAAAAACCAGCTGTACTACGTGAAAGTTAATTTCCCTTCAAACGAACTGTAGAAAAATGCTGTTCTAGAGAGCGATCTTAATGTTATTAGTTCTAACTGTTCTTGCTCATTTTGTGAAAATTTAATGATAAAAGATCACACGCGCTCATGGCTGTGGATAACAACCTTTGAAAAAAAATATTAGTAAATAGATGTATGTATGTATAGAGAGAGAGAGCTTTCATTTTTGTGCTTATCCCAGCACCTGTCTTCATTGTTAACTGTCAGTCTCCTCTACCTAAGCCAAATTTATTCGAGACGCCTACATTGAGGCTACTTCAAAATGTTTCAAATCATAATATTTTATTTCTGCATTACTGTAAAATTTCACTAAAACCTGGACTTCGAAGCTTTCCTTCCTAAAAATGAGTAGAACAAGAAAACTATTTCAACAGCAAAATATTTTTAAAAAGCCTAAAAAGGAACTATTATGGGCAATGAGCTCTCGATTAGCCGGCAGCAGATTAACAAGGCATTGTCTAAATTTTCAGATTGTTAGTTATAAAACAATGGAAAATTTATTATCACAGATCATCAGAATAAAGCAAAATTCCTATTGGAATTATAGAAAGGAGAAGAAAATGTATGTTATAATTGGAGTGATAACAAATTAATGTAATAGTATTTAGATGCCGTTTTTTATCCATAGCGGTACATAATTTGGTTGTGCATAATCTGGAATATATAAACATTGTTAAATCACCGATATGAATTAATTGCTAAAGCATAAAAATAAAGTAAGCGCACAACCATTCAGTTGTCTGCTTCTCATCTTACACACCCATCTTACACAAGAGTAATCTTACACAAGATTACTCTTGTGTAAGATTGACACCCATCTTACACAAGAGTAATCAAAACAAAAAAAAAATTGTTCCTTCGATTTTAAAGTATGGTCTTGTTTGGAATCCTGATTTAATTTACTTGATAAAATGAACCTATCGCCCAAATCTAACTACTCAAAAATACAGTTAAAAATTTAACAATAATTTTCTGTTAATTATAATATGGATTGCATTTTTTAAATTGGTTTAATCGTAATTTTGGTTTAACCACAGATTTCGTTTGCAGCTTTACCTAGGTTAACCTATAATCTCCTTCAATTTTAACGTGTGCCTAAGAAGCATTTCCTTAGGCTAGAAGTTCAGATCAACATTGCTTCAGAAAATAATAAATGCTTTTTGTTTCTGCTGTTGTGTCGAAACTATTGATGTTTAGACAACAGCGAGATAATGAGTTCAAATATTGTAACTAAATAATTTAAAATAATGGTTCTGGTAAAAAAAAGAAAGAAAGAATTAAAAAAAAAAAAAAAAAAAAAAAAAAGAAATTAGATCTTCCTTGTATCGAATTTTAGGTATCATTGCGCCCGTAAGCTTTTTCTTCCTTTTTAAATGTCAAATGTTCTAACAGAAATATTTATTTAAAATATATTATGGAATTTGTCAACCAGATAATAAATTACTTCATCGCGTTTCTTTTCTACCTTCAATTAGACTCGAAAGTATTTTTCTTTGCGAAATTATGTATTTCTGACATATATCTATCTATCTATCTATATATATATATATCTCTATATATATATATAGAGAGAGATATATATATGTATGTATTACAAGGTATTTTCCCCTCCTTACAGTATGCTTTCGTAGTGTAACGGCTAGCTCACTCAGTGCGTATTCGAGAGGTCCAGGTTCGAGTCCCGGCTAGGGCATTGTTCATTTTTCATGTACCTCCTGTTCCAAAACAACCTAATGTCTATACAGTGGCGCCCGAACTAAAAAGAGGGTGGATGATGATTTTCTCCACCATCAAGATTTGGCGATTTTGCCCCCTAATCCACAGTCGCCCTTTAAAAGGGGGAGTATATAAGGTATTTTCTCCCTCCTTCCAGTATGCCTTCGTGATGTAACGGTTAGCACACTCGGCTTGTATTCGAGAGGTGCAGGTTCGAGCCCCGGCGAGGGCATTGCGGATTTCTTTGATTTCTTGCTTCAAAAATCATAATGACTCTACAATATATTTATATAAAGATAAAAATTGTATATAATACACAGCTCATCTTTAACTTGCAATAACTCCTCAAATCTCTGTTTAAGCATCCTAATTTCCATCCTAAACATCCTAAACATAACTTTTAATAAATAACACTAAACTATGTCTTTTCAAAATTAATAGCTGTCATACGATTCTTATACAATGCTAATGTCGCGGATATTTACACAACTCTTCAACCAATAAAAATATTAGAATTTAAACCTTACGTAAATTAACCGATCGGAATAGAGTCAAGCCCAAACTAATTCATTGGATCCTTCCCTTTAGACAGATAGTTTTCGCGTGCTTTGTCGCAACTCAATCTCTCTCAGACGACCACCTCCGCAGAAAACCAAATCCTCTGGTATCGTGCTTAATTATCTCTGAAAGAGTGCATTGTTTCATTCTTGTATTAGAACTAACAGCGACTGAGGGAAAAAAATGCTTAAAATGAGAGTAAAAATATTTGACATAATAACTTTTTGGAGTTTTCTGCATATTTAGACTAGTACTGAATAACACTTGCTGTTAAAAATTTACAGCAGCTGTGTAATAAAATTTTACAGATATCTGGATTCTGCTCTTTTAGAAGCTGATGTGGAACCCAATTATGTTCGCATCAAAGTGAAAGGAAAAATCTTCCAGTTGCTTCTTCCTCAAGAAGTCCATCCAGACCAAAGCACTTCACTACGATCGCAGACTACTGGACATTTACTGGTCACTATGCCTAAAGTACGTCAAATTTGCATACGGAATTAAGGAATTAAGTGCATCATCTATGACGGAAATGAAATTAGAAGTTTGAAAAGATTTTTAATATTTTTCACTTGTGTTAACATTTACTGTGCTCACCACCATCCGAAGTCGTTAAACACTAGTAGTTTTACGTAGGTTATATTCTAGGCGAATAGGCTGATTGCATTGGCATTTTCATGGTTTTCTTCATGTGTAACGTAGATACGAACCAGTGTTCCTTAGAAATTCCTCTACGAAAGCGTTTCTTTCCTGAGGTAGACAGCCTTAGTGTGCTTTGTCTAATCGAGTAAACCAAACCAAACTAACATTTACTGTATTTCTGAAAAAATGAAATCCAAATGTTAAGCTTAGTAAGAATTTAGTAAGAAATAAGTAGTACCAGTAAAGTATTTAATCTTAAAATTCGAGTAATTTTAATGATTGTTATAAAGAATAATTTACATTTAAATTTTTTTAAAGCATTTACATTTTTTTTAAATATAATATGAGCTCAGCGCGGTTTTAGTCTAGTAAATTTTTATTTATTTTGCTCTAATGTGGTTTAAAATTAAATATTGTAATTTAGTTGGCGAAGATATTATTATTCGACGAAAATGTTTCTGGAATTTATATATGTAACACAGCTAACGCTTTCGTGGTTAATAACTTTGAGTTTTGTGATGCACATTTTGAGCCCTAAACTTTGCCAAATAAAAGCTAATTAACATAACTATCATACTACAACGAATGACTTTTCATTGATATTATTCAAGGGGAGTATAAACACGACTATCAAAGTATTTCAGTCAGTGAAAATAATTTATTTCTAAACTTTACTTAAAACGTATACGTCTGTTATCGTAAATTCACAATACATTACACGTATATACATTGAAAGGCAGCGTTAATTCATTTTAGCTTTTGATCACAGAAGGTATTCTTCTGTGCATTAATTGAACAATGATATCGCTTCAGAGGTGTATTAGTCCTTGTTGGCATAACGGCAACTCTGGCTTCGTTCAAGTTAGATGGTCTTTTCACACTCTTCACTCAGTATTGAGCAGAAGTGAGATTAGAGAATTGACCTGGCCATGGAAGCAATCCCGAATTCTAAATCCCGTTCTTCAAACCAATTTGAGTTCATTCGTACACGGTGACCAGGCGCATTATAGTGCTGAAAATGAGCATTTGTGTCAGGGAACATTGCAGCAGTATGTATTAGATTAAAGTCAAAGTACGTCATTGGCAACGATTTTGAAGTAAGCTTGTAAAGTCCTTATTTTGTTCAATCAACTATTTTCAGTTTAAGAAACTTTCCTTTCCCTTCTGATTTCAATTTTCTGCCAGAATGTAAATTTAATGACGTATATGCAAATTTAAGTGAGTTGGAAACAGTACTTAAGCAGATGTTTTTTAAGAATTCGAGGTAAGAGAGTTAGTTCAGAATTTATATTTGAAATAGCTCTGTAAGTGAACAGTTGGTGCTAGCCACAATTCTTTAGATTATATTGATATTCTAGGCTAGGTATTTCTGTCTGCAGCCAATTTAGAGGTTCAGCTGAAGAAGAAGCCAGTCGTGTAACCAATCTTTATCTTACTGTGATTGTACACTGCGAAAAAAAAATTGGAACAATTCTATTCTTCTTTTCTACTGCGCCGATTGACGAAATTCAACTTGCGTTTTTCATGTCTCGAAAGCGCGACTTAGGATATGTATTAGATTTATGCATAGCATTGTTCTACTATACATATTTTGACACAAAATCGGACTTTTTCCGAAATGACATGCCAGTTTTTTTTCCCATATTTCGATTCTACGATTCAAGTTATGCCTAAATATTAAATTTTGTAAAAGTTGGTGCACCATTTACGGAGAAATTCAAAACTTTATCTTTTTATTTATTTATTTATTTATTTATTTAGTTTCCACTGCGAATAATTAACTTGACGAAATTCTTAATTTATAGCAGCCTATTTCCTTTTCCTTTTTTTCACTGTAAACGAACGGAAAAAATTCATCGTTCATTGTTTCAAATAATTTTAACAAAGTGCGTAAGCCACATTTGGCGTTATTATCGCTTGTAACAAATATGCCAAATTTCAAAACGCGCCTCTAGATAAATTTACGTATATCCTAGAACATTTTGTATAAAAAACTCTAATGATTTTCAGGTATGCTTAGAAATACATCTACTTTAAGATAATGGTAAAACTTATCTTAAAGTAGATGTATTTCTAAGTTAAAAAAAAATTTCGAAAAAAAAATTTTCGAAAAATTTTTAAGAAATTATTTAAAAAAAAATTTAAAAAATAAATCATAAAAAATAGGCGAATTTTATTTGGAATGAATTAAATTTCGAATTCTAGAAGAAGGAATCAAGTAAGTTTAATTAAAAAAAAAGGACATTAGTAAATACGAGTATATATCAAATTCAATTAACATTGAGGAGCTAATTTTTTAAAAACTACTGGAGCGATATTTAAAATACTTGGGAGTTTGGCATAATTTGAGTCGTAGAATCGAAATATGGAAAAAATGGCATCTGCTTTCAAGGCATGAAAAACGCAAATTGAATTTCCTCAATCAGCCCAGTAGAACGGTAGAACGAGAGATACAGAGCAGTATATATCCCATTTTCTGTTCAAGTTACTTAGCCACAAGTAGTAGCTAAATTATGAGCACCGAGTGAATGCGTTTTTGTTTAGTTAAAATAAAAAGGTTATTTTAACCTTCTGCTGTAGTCATCTCTTTTCTAAAACTTAGCGAGAATAAGCTACACATGGTCTTTGAGTAGGGTCTATTAGCTAATGATCCCGAAACACACTAGAAGACTCTACAAGCTGTGACAGTGACAGCTGTTTTCAAACATATCAAGGAACCCATGGTTCTCCAGGAAAAAACTTCACAGACCATAATTCCACGGCACCAGGTGGAAGAGGTGGTCAATTATAAGAGTCTATGAATCTATTCTGTTTCTACAAAATTCTCACCCTGTCATCTACATGACGGAGCAGGAAATGAAATTTATGAAACTCAGCAAATTTTTCTAATCGTCAGCGCTTCAATTTTGATGATCTTAAGCCCGTCTACAGGAGAATACATACTATATCTGGACAAGTCTCTGACTCCGCACAAGCGCTGCAGACTTGATCTCTTCAAGTCTGCAGCGCCTTTGCCAATCTCATCTACACAGGGAAACTATCTGGTGCGTTAGATACATGTTTGCGGCGCCTGCACTCGAGTCGTGATCGCTGCGCATAATGGAATGCATTGTCGTCTGAGACATATTTGGCAACACAGTAAAACTGTGAATGGAAATCACGTTTCCGAAAAACAATGGCGGCTACTCTCAGCGTTAAATTACTGAAAAACACAACGCGAATCTTTTAGAGTTTTTATTATTATTCTAAGAAATTTAATTAATTTATTATGCGATATTTCTGTCGGAACATAATTTCCGATTCATTTCTTTATGAATAAAACATTTTTTCACCTTGATACGAGTGATTTGCTATTGTAAGCTATACAGCGATGTATTTTTTTTACCTCAGTTGTTAGCATTAGTCTGCTGAAATAATTCTTCCTGTCGAAGAGGATTGCTATAATCTTCCGTTTCCAGAAGTCTGACAAGAAAGAAAAGCTTAATTTATAGTCTGTTTACATTTGATTACATTTCCCGTTTTCTTCTGTTAATAATTTGTCAAACTTTCGGTCTAGGTCTGACTAGCTTGATCATTTAACGCATTTACCAAAGTGTTTAAACTTTCCGGGAACTAGCAGAATGTAAATTCGAATACGGCTGAGCTATAGGGGGAAGATTCCAGCTAAATTAAAGTTACTTTGTTGGCTATATCTTTATTTGAACTGTGAAGCAACTATTTGCCAAGTTCAGCTGTATCAGTAACAACGCACAGGATGGGTGTCAACTCAAGAGCAGTATGTACAGTTGGCTATCCTAGCGCTTACAGAGTTTCGCCAATAGTTTTGGCGGCAACTCAAAATCAAAACGAAAAATTAAAACTGATCCTAAGTTGAATAATCAGCTGAAACTGCACAAAGATATTTTAACGCGTAGTTGTCTCTCGGCCATGCCACCGGCGAAAACTGAACGGCAATGCACTGCCGTAAAATAGCAAGCTTAAGTAACAGATAAACAACGTGGCCGAAAATCAGAACACGCTCTGTCTAAAATAATCCAGGCACCAGCTTAAATAATAGTCTTCTATCCTAATCTGCATATAATGCACGAAACTGAAATCTAGTTCTGGCAAGAAAGCGTGGGTTGACAGTAAGAACTATAGGAAATGTTTCTTCCAAAATACAATTAACTGCTAATTAAATTAAATAAAACTCTACAGCTATTTTCAGTTTTTTTTTTTTTTTTTTTTTTTTTTTTTTAACTGAAAATAATTGTTTTATTGCTCCTGTAGTTCTGTAATTAACAGAGATATGTTAACACAAAAATTATAAAAATTTTTACACGTAACATGATAATTTTACGCTATTTTGTTATTATGCATAAAATGTTATTATTTACGTTATTTTTATTATGTATAAAATTTTATCTCAATTAATTATTTACACAGTAATTTAATAATTATTGCATGAATGTAATTAGCCCAGAAGGACTATTAGTCTCAAAACAGCATTTTGCGTCGAATCACTAAAAGCGTTGAATCACTTTTCCAATTCTTGCCAACAAATATTATCGCCCTGTATTATATTTAAAGCAATTAAATAATGAAGAATTTATATGAATGTATGCATGTTTCTCACATTGTGGAAAAACATCGGTACCTAGAGTCATCAAATTTTCAAACTTAAGGATTTCAAAGCGACCAATGGCGACGTTGTACAGAAAAAACATTTTTATCTCCATCGCGCGAGACTGTGTAACGGAAATTCCAAAGATATGCCCATTTTGAAATTATTTTGCGATAATGCTCTTGAACTGAGTTTTATGGTGTAAATGCGAAGAACATCATATTTAATAAATAAAGGTAATACACAAAAAACAAACGCCCCTTTGAACTTAATTTAAAATCTGAAGCCTTTCAGTTTTCTTTTCTTTTCTTTTTTTTTTTTTTTTAATTTATTTTTCTATGTTTAAGTAGTTCTCTTGAAACGCTTATGCAGTTAATTAGAATTAAGTTTTGAATGCTTAAATATTTTTGTGTTTCGGTGATAATGTGCCTTCTTACGTCACTGGAATATTTTTTTTACCGTTCATTTTCAACACTTATTATTTACTACTTTCCGTATATTTTAATTTTTTAGGCAAATACAGTTCTAAGGAAAAGAGAGGTCACGGAGAAGAACTCTGTTGTTCAAGAGGAAGATAAAGAAAAAAGTAAATTAGATCCAAAAATTTAATTATTTTAATAGTTATATATTGTTTAAAATTTCTTTTGTGCTTTACTCTAGTCTTAGTTAAAAAGTAAGATTATATTTCTTCATATTATATTTCTTCATATTAACTCTTTTCCTTGAAAAAGTTAAAGGAATAACACAGCATGGATTAAAATTAATAAAAAGCAGAAGATAACTCTTGAGAATTTTTTAAAATTTTATTTTTAGCCTAAATGGCGTGAGCCAAAAAATGCTTATTAGTCTCAAAACGGAATTTTGCTTTGAATCACTATAAAAGTCTGAATCACTTTTCAAATCGTTGTCACCAAATATTAGAGCCCTGTATTATATTTAAAGAAATTAAATAATGAAGAAATGCATGTTTATCGCACTGTAAAAAAACAATACCTTGAGTCATCAAATTCTGAATAACATAGTCCTCCACTCGAACATGGGCACATGGAATTTGTGTTTCTGTCTATTTCATATTTTGTTAATCTTGAACGAATTTTTGATTAAAAAAACTTAACGATTTCAAAGGGAGCAGTGGCAATTCTGTAGGGAATAAAGCATTTTTATCTCCAGCGCACGAAACTGCCTGTCCGAAATTCTAAAGAGGTGCCGTTTTAAATATTTTCAGTTCAAAGTGGCGTTATCCCAAATGCTCTCGTAATGTGTATGTGTATGTAAATGAAGAAAACGTCCGTTTGCGCGTAATATGAAATCTGAAAACTTTCAAATTTTATTATTATTTTTTATTTCTTTATTTATTTTTTAAAACTGTCGCTTTGATTAACCTAAGCGAGGGACAGTAAACCTAATTTATTCAAAAAAGGGTGGAAAGGGATTGACTAAGTAAACCTCTCCTTCCTCTCTTCTTCCAAAACGCCATTACATGCATTAATGGGGATATCAAATGATGCATTAGTTAAGTATATGGAAAGCGAAATTTAAAATGTAAAGTTCGTAAAGATTGAAGAAAATCACTGATTATAGTACAGAAAACGGCATATCGAACGGATAATCAGGGTTAAAGAAAAGCACTAAAAATTAGCGGGATTTTAAAAGTATTTTTGGATCCTAGAAAGAAGTATGAATGCATAAATAGAATACATTATGTAAATGGAAGAGAAAAACCCTCTGTTTTGGTATCGAACAAAATTCTCCTTTAGATTGACGTTGACTGTACATGAAAACTCCATGAAATTGCTAAATCTTTCCCTATCTTTCTTTATACTAGATACTATATATATATGGTATATTGTACACAGAAAAAAGTGTGTGTGTTGTGTTGGGAATAGATGCTGAACACAATTGATAAAATCAATATTTATTCTGATATTTGATATTGAATATGATTCTGATATGATTCTGATATTGAATTTGATTCCAAAATAGCAGTTACAATTTCAAACACAACCACAGTTAATTAACCCAAGCTTCGATTTACATAACTCTATTTGCAATTCGTTAGCACTGCTGTCGTGGACAGAAAACAAAATCCCAAATAATAATCTTAGCTACAAAATTAATAATTTTTATACATATCCCCAAATACCTCATTAATATACCGATTCCCAATCAAATAAAAATAATGATATTACTCTAATCTTAAAATTAACTCATGAATAAATATTTATATATTAGCATTTAGTGTTATATAACCATCACTACTTGCTAATAAGGATGGTGACGAGCATTTAGCTGAGAAGACTTTGGGTATTCTGATTTAACCAAACTTAACGCAGTATCGAAAGCTAACTTTCCGGGAGTGAGACAGCACATAAAATCTGTCTTTAACATAGTCACCTATAGTATTTAACGCGGTTCGATGTAATTCATAGAGTGAAGCCGTCGATCGCCAACATGCTAAAATATCAGTTCGGTAAAGTCCCTTTATAATACGAAAAACAAAAACACAACGCCGGGATAATTGCACGTCATCAGCTGAAGCTAGAATTCGATATTCTGTGAATCATGAAGTTTCTTCATATACACTGCTCTGCAAAAGGTAAGAAACAGCATGTTTTTCAAAGATCATTGCAGAAATGTCAGTAACATTTAAATTCACAGATTATATACATGATAACAGTGGAGTTTAAGAAGATACATGAAAAACAATAGCTACCACTTTTATTTTATAGTAGAAATGAATACTTATATAAGAACTGGAGAAAAAATGTAAGTTTTGTTTACGAGTGCTTATCTTCAGTTGTTATTACGAAATTCGGTAACAATATCCATTCTATCAGTGTCTAGTAGAAGTTGTTTTCCCGATTAGTTGAGGTGGACGGAGATGTCAATTAGATGCATCACTGTCTCTCGTAGTGTGATCCACCGACTAAGGAATTAGTTTGAATCCGTGGGTTCTGTGCCTAGAAGACATGTACCAGACAAATTAAGAGTTATAACTCTTGTGGGAGACTGTTATTTAGCTCTTTCGGTCCGAAGGAGGAACAAGCTTACTGTGCCTCAGCTCATAGCAGATCATTTAATGGCAAAACGAAGAATTACAGCTACAGCAGCGCACAGAGACCTGCAGGATACAAGTCTGTAGGCAAGACGACCAGTTGTTTGTGTCCCTTTGGCCTGTTTATGTTGGGCTAGAGAACACGTCTCATAGACCAGTCAACAATGAACGTCTGTTCTCTTCACAGACGAGTCCATGTTTGCATTGGAGAGTGATTCGGGTCATCAGCTGATCTAGAGGGAACAACACACCAGAGGCAATCAATCCCACATTGTGAAAAGATACAGTTGCAGAGGAGGTGGTGATAAAATGGTTTGGATTGAGATCTCTCTCGGTGGTCACACTGACCTGAATATGTTCCATGGAGGAACTTTGACCAGTGTGAGATATCGAGACGAAATCTTTGATCAATATATCCACCCATATGCCGCTGCTGTTGGTCCTGGATTTCTTTTGATGGGCGACAATGTGCGACCGCACTGCGCTCGAGTTTCTGAAGAATATTTTGAGGGTCACGACATGGAGCGGATGGAATGACCAGCTCAAGACCTGAATCAGATAGAGCATCTTTGGGACTACCTTGGGAGATAGGTTTCTGCTTTAAGTCCTCCTCCAAGGTCGTTAGATGAGCTTGAACAAGGATTACTCCGTGTCTAGTCGTTGCTTCCCATTTCACTGACCGATAACTTAATTGACAGCATGGAACGTTGCTGCCGCCAATGTATTGCAGCTAGGCGTGGACACATTTCTTATTAGAAACCATTTTTGTAATGTTACGACTCCATTTTTCTTCAAAAAACTGTACTGTTTCTCCAAGACTGGATTTCTCTTCCAAGAGTGCAATTTTTTGGTTGTAATTCATATTTGTGTTGAACTTAAGCAACATTCTATGTCGCATTCATTAAAGAACTGTTTAGTGAACATGTCCTCTAAATTTCTTGTTTCTTTGTTACTTCATTTTCAAATTAGACACAAAAACATGCTGTTCCTTGACTTCTGGAGGACAGTGTACTTCGGAAACAGAAACACAATGCCGAGATAGTTGCACATCATCAACGGGAACCAGAACCCAATATTCTAGGTCGCTAAACCAGAAATCTGAATTCTGGTGCATATTTTTACTTCCTTCACTCATTTAAAAAGCATTCTGAAATTGAATTACATTTGTCATCGCTTTTAGAGTCATAAATTCGGTATCTTTTTCCTGTTACATACATCGTTGTAAGAACACCGCACAAATCGTCGCATTTTTGTCAGAGAGGATTTTCACGTGCGAGTCCTCCGCATTCTTCCTACTCTATATAATTCAGTTACAAGAGCCTGATACATTTTCCGTAATTTTACCATCCATCTGGCTCATCTTGAGGATCATGATAGCATGACTCTAGTTTCGTTCTTTCATTCCAACACCCTTTCTATCAGTTATTACCCACAATTCTTTCTTCCTTATTTTTCCCTTTTTCTTCTTCGTGTTGCTAAACTCTGAAGGAGAACACATGTTAGAATTTCTCCTTCCAGCATCTAGTTCACATTACACCATTCTTTACCATCTTTTTCTTCCTCATCAAAACAAAAAACGATCTTGAAAAAAAGCTCACCTTTTTTTTCGACCAAATCTTTGCTATTTAATTCCAGGCCTAATTATTAATTAAACGGCATGTTCTCATGCAACCACGCCTTTTTTTAACATAATTGGTCCATCGCAATTTACTACAACCTTTTTCGAACTAATTATAACAACATAGCAATTAAAATTACGCGCCGCACATATTTTCTACAGCGCCCCAAGAAATATGAGTAGGGTATTTTCCTTCTCTAGTTCGCCGTGGGAAATTCCTCTAGATACATCACGCACCGACAAAACGTTTCTTACAAAATAATACGATTGTCTTTTCTTCTGTTTGCTGTCATTTCTTTCTAAGCAGCCTGAAATTTGAATACAGAAGCTAAAAAGTATTTCCTATAAAAATAGATATTTGAATAAAATATGCAATTTTAATTATTCAGATAAATTTTATTTTCAGGTGAAATTTTGGAAGTTACCCCACCTTTAATAAATTACGTCGATAAAATTGTGAGAAAACCTGAAAAAGAATAAATTCGACGGAAATAAGATCTGGATTACCGAAGCCATAATCTGAATTATGTATAATTCGCTCAGCAGAAGTGATTCGATTTTATTAAATAAAGTGGTTTCTTTTCTTGTAACTTCCATTCTTTTGTTTGTTTGCCTTTATCATCCATCAAGAAATAAATATTTGCCATATTCTCTTCCGATGCCTTTTTAGTGATAATTACAGATTACTAATTTATAGTTTATTTTTTCAAACCCAGACTGCATATTTCGATATTTTTCTCCAGTTCAACTTGTGTTATTAGATTATTTTCAAATATACAAAAGCCACGTACTTAGCAAAAAGTGCAATTATCTGAAGAATTTGTGTCGGAAATTTTGCTAAGAATTCTGCAAAAATAACCATATACGGCAAATCTTTTCCTTCAGCAATCGATCCGAGAATGAATTAGAAGAAAGATCTTTTGCATTCGTTATTATATTTCTTATTCGAATAACTGATATTCATTATACTCGTGGTTTAAATTCAACAGGAGCCCACATTCTAAGTTTTTGAGTGAAATCTCAAGATAAGCTGGAGCACCAAATAAGGTGATCTCCGGTACTTTAATTTTCATTTACTTTAATTAGTTTTATCTCTTTAGGCTTTATTTAATTTTAATTATTAATTATTTTATTTAATTACTTTTATTTATATTTCCTGAGACCTTTCGTAGGCATTTCCATCTCAGAAAATAAGCCTTGGTAACATCAACCAATATTCGCCTAATCTGTGTTCTAATGGAAAAAGATGAAAGCTACAGAAAAGCCAAAATAATAAGATTATTTTAAATAAAACCTTGTAGAAACATTAGGTTAATTGGAAAAACCGGAGAGAGGAAAAGTTAACAAACCGCCTTCGCCGGGAATTGAACCACGGACCTCTGGAATACCGGCCCAGTGTGCAGAACCACCACACCACGAAGGCACGCCAAGAAGGTGGGAGAAATACCTTATAACCTTACACATCCAACTTATATTACTGCCTTCTTTTACCATAAAGTTCTGTTGGTCATTAAAACTTGCAAATTATTCTGCAGAAACTGTTAAGCTCTCGCTACTTGATATTCTCCCTTTCCTAGATTAAAATGTAGTACATATTTTAAGCAGCAGTCATTTAAAAGGCGTTTCAACTGATAATGTCGTACAGAAAAACAAAAACAGTTTTCGGTGGCATGATACTAGATTAACACAAATGCGTTCCATTTCGCTTTATTTCGTCAAAGAATACAAGCGGCATTCGTTAAATTAATTTACTTCACCAATCATTTCCTATTGTCGTTTAGCCCACCAGCGGCCGAGCGGTAAAGACGCTGAACATTGGTAGTTTGGTCAGAGGTTCGAATCCTACGAACGGGCTGGCTGCATGGGCGTTTTCGTGGTTTTCTCCATGTGTAACGTGTATACGAGCCAATTTCCCTTAGAAAGTCCTCCACGAAGGCATCCCTCCCCTTAGGCAGATAGCCCTCGTGTGCTTTGCCATAACTGAATAATCCAATCCAATCCAATCCTATTGTCGTTTAGGAAAAATTAAAAAAAAAAAAAAAATGAGACCATCCACCTCTTTTAGCCACTCTTGTCTTTTAATATACTCCTTTAAAGAAGCTGAATATAAAATCAGATTAAGGTTGACATCCCTCACTGCGCGACATGTGATTTTTACTCTGTGATTTGTCTGAGTTTTAGGAAATGGCTGGCATCTGTGGATAGCGAAATGTTATCTGACCTACGTACCCTATATAAGATCATGCAGATGATGCAATAGCCAGGAAAGCTTTTCCTACAGCTATTAACAAACATTCAGACAATAAAGTCATGGATTCAGCGGATGCTGAATTGTCGGAAAAAGAATCTCCTGATGCTGAACCTTTAAAGCACAAACCTGGGCTTGCGCAACTGCCAAAAGATCGAAACCTCACTCATGAAGAAGCCACGGAACTTCCTAATATGAAAGAAGTGATAAGTGACGGAGGACGTTGGTACCGTCCCTTTACCTTAATGGTTAATCAGTACAGCACCACGTCCGCCATTATCTAGAGCCGCCGATGGGGTTCGCTGCCGTCCAACTGCCCGGGTCCCAGTGTTTGTTGATATCTGAGAAAAATATAAGTACATGGCCATGCGTTACGTTACTAATGATTCAATTATAATACATTTAAAAACTAATTTTGCAGCAGTGCACTATATATTATGATACTGATTTATGCAATTCATACATTACCAATTATACAATTTCAATACATTACAATACTAATTATGCAGTACACACATAGACTTTATAGTGTATGTTACGAAAGTGAATAATAGAAACATTACCAATTATACAATTAATATATATTACAATACTAATTATGCAGTACACATATAGACTTTACAGTGTATGTTACGAAACTGAATAATAGAAACATTACCAATTATACAATTATTATACACTACAATACTAATTATGCAGTGCACTCATTATGCAACACTGCCGCATTGTATCCCTGATAGTGCACGTAGTACTCCTGATAGTGCACGTAGTACTCCTGATAGTGCACGTAGTACTCCTGAAAGTGCACACGCAATGCAGCTCTAATATGAAAGAAGCTGAACATATATCTGTTCATCGTGATAAACTTGTAAATGTCCGTCATCAACGTGCTAGTAGGCCCACCAGCTGCCAAGTGGTGGCCCACTGACACTGAGCTAACTGCAGGGCGATGGCCTACTAGCTAAGTCGTTCAACACTGGTAGCTCGGTTTCGGACTCGGATCCCAGCGAATGGGCTGACTGAATTGCCGTTTTCGTGTTTTTCTCTATTTGTAACGTGTATATAAGACAATTCCCTTATAAAGTCCGCCACAAAGGCATCCCTTCCTTTAGGCAGATAGCTCTCGAGTACTTTTCCATAATTAAATAAAACGAAAAACAACCGACAGGGTGCTACGAAATTTATGGAGTACTCCTACTAGAACTACTAAAACAAAAGCTACTGAAGAATTTTCTCCTGTTATTTCTCACGATAACGCCTTTGCTGCCCTCATCATAGACGATGATGCTGTAAAGATTGAAATAGATGAGCCTCTAGTTCCCGTGCCTGACAATAAGGAAAGACTACCTCAAGTCATCTACCCCGATCACAAGTTAGCTGGAAAGAGATAAGATCGCTCTTTTCGCAAAACGGTATAAATGACTACACCGCTACCCTCCAGAGATGACAGCAAGATTATAAGATCTTTCTCCCGTCTTCTTAGTGCCTTCGTGATGTAGTGGTCAGCACGCTCCGCGCGTTTTCGAGAGGTCCATGGTTCGAGTCCCGGTGAGGGCATTGCTCATTTTTCATCTCTCCTGATTCGAAATAAACTAACGTCTCTACAGTGGCTCCCAAACTAAAAAAGGTGTTGGATTATGATTCTTTACCCCCAGGATTTGGCGACTGTGTCTCCTAATCCCCAGTCGCCCTTTAAAAGGGGAAGTATCTAAAGTATTTCTCCCGCTTTCTTAGCATGCCTTCATGATGTAGTCATCAGCACACTCAGCGCGTATTCGAGAGGTCCGGGATTCGAGTCCGGGCGATAGCATTGCACATTTTTATCTCTCCTGCTTCAAAAATCCTAATGTCTCTACAAGTTGACTTAACTTGGAGCTTAATGCGTGATAGGGCGTTGGTCTGCCTGATGATTAAAGCAATTCAGTTTATCCCATTTAGAACAAAACGTGATAGTAGGAAATCAGATGCTACGATTAAAGTGGCCATCAGAGAACTCCCATTTGAAGCTGATGTTCGAGAAATAATATGAGAATTTGTGAATTTGGCTTCGCACTTACGAACGACTAGGAAGACTCAATGAGGGTCTATGATGCTTCCTGTTTTCTTCGCTTAATACGGATAGTTAAGTTAAACACACGGATACTGGCCGGAAGATTTTTTCGTTTAAGAAGCTTCTGAATCAGAATATTAACATCAAAAGATACTTCCCAGGTAAAAACCCCATGATCTGCTTTCTATGTCAGCGTTTTGGTCATGCTCAGATTGGCTGCAATAACTGACCTAGATGTTTTAAGTGCGAGAAGTATCATTTAACTTACACTTTTGGACTGAAGGCGGATGAAAAATCAACGTGTTTTCGACGTCTTTCGGACCATCTCGCTGCCTCCAAGGACTGCCCACTATTTCCGAAACAGCAAACTAGGTTACCTAAATCCTGCAGAAAGGTTAATCACCGTTATCCGGACACTGCTGCTCCGCCACGTATAATGGACTTTGTTTGAAGCTCTACCACCGATCTTCTGAAAGATAAAAAGCTTCACAGCCTCCTTTTCAAGATTTTGGATACTGTGAAAAAGTATAATAGAGAAGATAAAAGTATTAATAGAGATCAAGTTGCTGTAGTTTTAGAAATTCGAAATTTAATAGTTGTTATTTATTCAATTTATTCTCCTCCTACGGATGACATTACCCCAGTTATTGCCTTTTTAGAAGAGAATCTTCGCATTATTGGTAATAAACACCAAATCATCAGTTGGGACTTTAATGCCCATTCAATAGCATGGGGTTATACAACAACTGATCCTAAAGGTCGCCTATTGGAGGATTTTATATCTTCAAAAAATTATGTGCTTTTTAACTCACCAGACTCTGCGCCTACCTTTGATAGAACATATGCTATTGGATGGCCTGACTTAACTTTTACTAAAGCAAATACTGCACATTTGGTTCATAACTGGACTATTCATGATGAAATAAGTTTATCGGACCATAAATTCATTACGTTTGAAATAACCAACAATGGCTCAGTTCCTATTCTCATTAGATATAATCTCCCAGGTCGTAAATATCGTCAATTTACGAGAAAAATTAGAGGAAAATTGAACCAACTGAGAAGACAACTATCTTTGCAAACAACTCCAGCTGCCTTGGAACAATTTACGGACTTGGTTTTAACTACAATCCAAGATATTTGTCAAGATCTTCTTCCAAGGAAAACAAATAAAAAACTTTCAGCTCTCCATTGGTGGAACGGTGAATTAAGAACTCAACAACAGAAATGTCGAGCGCTTAGAAGAAAATTAAAATCTGACCGTCGAAATGGTATCACCTCAAATACTTTGCAACATTATCAAACAGAAAAAGCAATTTATAAACGCATGATTATTCAATCTAAATTAACAGCATGGAAGCAATATTGCACTCAAAATCATGATCCATATGGACTTCCTTACAAAATTGCAAGGACAAAAAATTTTTCAACCTTCGCAAACTCATCTAATAGCATCTTCTACTTCGACTGAGCACCCAACACAAGACACAATAGAATCAATTTTAACCACCGTGTTTCCATCTGATGATCCTTCCACAGATTCTCAGTTCCAGACAGAAATTAGAAATAACTTAACAGTTCCTGATACTGCAGACGATCAAGATATAACTTTAGACGAAATTAAAACTACAATACGAAATCTTCCTAAAAAACGGGCGCCAGGGCCAGATGGAATTGATTATGTTATCATCCGAGCAACTATTAATTCTCATCCTTATTTCTTCAAGGACTTCTTCAACAAACTTTTCCATTTAGGACTTTTTCCTAGGGCTTTTAAAATTGGCAGAGTGGTCTTATTCCTAAAACAGGGTCGAGACCCACATAATCCTGCATCATACAGACCCATATGCTTACTCTCTGCATTGGGTAAGGTATATGAGAGAATAATTGTTTTACGCTTAAAACATCATTTGCATGTGCAAAACTTTTTGTCTGATAATCAGTTTGGTTTTCGACCTGGTAGATCCACTGTTCAGGTATTGTCAAAGATTGTTAATGATTTGCAATCTAATAGAATCAGTGGTCACCACAGCGCTTTCATTAGTATTGATCTTCTCAAATGCTTTTGATACGCTGTGGTGGCCAGCAATTCTGGAATCATTAAGAAAAGCTCATTGCCCTAAGAATATATTCTTGGTATTTAGAAGTTATCTATCTGAACGAAAATTAATGTATTTAACTAACCGGGAAGTAATAACCAAGATACAAAATCGTGGCTGTCCCCAGGGTTCCTGTGCTGGCCCTGATTTGTGGAATGTAACATTTAATTATGTTCTATCCTCCACTTGGCCAGCACATACCCGTTTATATGCTTATGCTGATGACACAGCTTTTGTTGTCACAGGGCGAACAAGAGATGAACTGCAAATTAACTCCACAGAAACTTGTAATCTTTTTTATGAGTTATGTAATAATATCAAACTTACAATTTCCTCTTCAAAGTCAACCATTCTCCTTGTCCCAAAGAAAGGAAAATCTTTAAATCGACGACCGAGAATTACAATAAATGGTACCAGAATTGGTATTAAAAGGCAGCTCAAATTTCTCGGTATAGTATTTGATGAGAAATTAAATTGGATTTTGCATCTGCAGGAATTGAAAAGAAGAACAACTATCATTGCAAACTAATCTTCGCCGTATGTATGGACACAATTGGGGTATTAGTCCGTACATACAAAAAATATTATATCAAACTGTAATCGAGAAGATGGTTATATATGCAGCTGCAGTCTGGGCCGACCCTATGCAGGGTCGTAAGGCCAGACTATTGCAAAGCTTACAACGACCCTTTGTATTACAGATTACCCGCGCTTTTTGTACAACTTCTTCTAATGCCTTGACTGTGCTTGCAGGCATTATTCCATTGCCTCTACGCACTCTACAGGAGGCAGCTTATCAAACAGTTCGCCAATTGCAGCAATCTGTAAATTTTCATGATGACATATTTCTTCCAACCAACTATGAAAAGCAAAACACAGCATTTGGATAATCATCCTGCTCAACAAGGATATGGACTCAATGTCTTTTTGAAATGTGACAATTTGCCACAACTACCTCACTTACAGATATTCACTGATGGTTCGAAAATTGAGCAACAAACTGGTTGTGCCCTTGTGGCTTATCACAATGAAGACCAAATATTTAAATGGTTAGGACATCTTACTGCTGAAAACAGCGTTTTTCAAGCAGAAGCGATGGCTATTCTTAAAGCTGTTCAATATCTTAAACAAACCGGCGAGATGGAAAGGTATAATAATAACGGATAGCCTTTCATCTCTTTTTGCAATTAAAAATCCAAGGCATTCTTCGCCTATTATCTCTGCCATTCAGCAGGAATTGCTCATGTCCGGAAATTCTAAAAATACTGATGGCCTGGACAAAAGGTCATGCAGATAACATTGGCAATATCCAAAGCAGACTTCTTTGCAAAAATAGCTGCCCAAAAACGTATTGATCATATTGGTGAAATTGAAAACCTAATGGTAAAACGGCCAATTTCGTATTTTAAAAAGGAAATTTTACTCAAGACTATTTCTGCGTGGCAAACAAACTGGGATGACTCCGACACAGGTCGTCGTACTTATTTTCATATTTCATATGTTGATATACATAGACAGGTTACCAATCATCATTTGGTACGTTATATTACAGGGCATGGACCCTATCCAGTTTACTATTATCGACATGGGATTTCAAATACTGATATGTGTGTATGTGGTGAACTTGGAAATCCTGAACATTATGTGACTCAGTGTCCTATTACACAAGATTATCACATTCCCATACCAAATACTAACACTCGTGCATTTTGTAAGTTTTTAATTAAACAAAAATACTTATTTAAAAAACTGATCAAAATTATGAAATACTTCATTCCTATGGTACTGACTTGTGCTTGGTAACATAATTTACAATTTTATTATATTGTACGCATACATGTTAGTGTTAATCTACTATTCCCATATGTCAACTTATCACATGCTTGGATTTGGATTTGTCTCATTGAATCTTCGTTGAATTTTGTTCAATAAGAATGTTTACATATATATATCTTATATATATATATATATTATTTATCTTTGTTAGAAGTACCATTTGATATATGCATTTACTTTTCTATTAATATCTGGATTATTTTAGTATTTGAATTTGTATTGTTATAGATCTTATCGATTGTATTGGGTTGTTTTCTCGATATGTCTTTAACTTGTTATGCATTTATAATTATATCAGTATATATCTACTGACTGTATTTGAATATGCATTGCATAGATATTTTAAGAATAACATTTTGCTTTTGTATTGGTCATATATTCGGATTTTTATTTGAGTTTATTATTATAATTATATTTTAATACTGTTGGTATTTAAATTGCAATACCATTCTGTTGTACGAATACGACTTTCTTTTATATAGTATATCTATATCTAACATTGTATACTACTACTCTTTAACTTTATGTTTTGCATTGATATGCATAGTCCTTTAACTTAGTATTGTTTTGCACTGATGGTTCATGAAATATTAACATTTGTAATTACATACTCGTGTTTGCGTTATATTGTACTGTTGGACTTGTATTGTATTATACAGTCTATTTATATTTACAATCTCATTATGTACCAACTGATCATTGTATTATAATTGTCAGAGAATTTCAGTATTGTTATCATATGTACTAATATTTGAAGCAGTAGTCCTTTAACTTACTATTATTTTGCACTTATGGTTCATGAAATATTTGCATTTGTAATTATATCTTACTTTTTACATTGATATTGTAGTATTGGACTTGTATTATGCAGTATATTTATGATTGCAATTTCATTATGTACGAATTGCACATTGTATTATAATCGTCAGAGAATCTCAGTATTTGCTATCATATGTACTAATGCCTGGACGGTTGGGTGAGCGTTGTGTGGAGGGCGCTTTTGGTCAGTTTGACTGCCCTCTGGATGGTCCGAGCGTTGGGCCTCGGCTTTTGGTGCTGGGCGCAAATGTGGCTCCTACACATTGGCTCTAGACAGTGGTGGGCACGGTGCAATACCGATTAACCATTATGGTAAAGGGACAGTGCCCGTGCTCCCCGTTACCTACCTACCTACCTACTGTGAAAAAGTGCAAGAAATCTGATTTTCCTTTTGTTACAAAAATCACATTTTGCATTGTAACTTTTAAAAATCATCGAAGTAGGTAAGAGAAATTAAAATTTGTCCTCCCTGGAGTTACGATTCTCAGACGTATGTCACGTGAGCTCTAGTTTTTGGATTCGCTGTTGAAGGTGCCTCCAGATTCTCCCGCTAGTGATCCAAGCACTTTACTAGTTTCTTTTCCTTCTTCTCTGTTGTTTCTTACAAAACAATAGATAGAGCCAAGTGTACCGTCTATTTTTCCTGCTTCAAACTGCCCTAATTATGATTTTTCAGGCTTCAGAGCGTTCGGTTCCTCCTTTTATCTTCTCAACATCAAGTCCTCCAGCTCCGGGAGTTCATCAGGATTTTACATTATCATGCCCGTTGTGGACCTATTTCGATGAACAGGAAAATACTGCTTAGCAGTAGAACTCTTGTATAACACGTTAGTATCCAAGTATCCGAGAGTATAGAATCGATTTCTCATGCTAAGGTACTGCAATTCCAAATCTATGGGATGACTGGGATTTATCAGGTAATAATTTCGAAACATACAAGGTGTGAGTCAGAAGTTTCAAGACTGGCTCATTTCTGAGTATGAGAGCGCGCGCAAACCGGTTCCACCGAGTGGGGGAAGTAGTGGAGGTCTCAGGAAACGAACTAACGCTGCGGCAGTTGCCACCGGAACCCTGGAGAGTGCGCATCGCTTGCAGCGTGAATGCGTGTCATTGACCTCGGTCGAAAAGTGAGGGAGGCGAAAATGGAGCAGTACTTGGAGCAACGTTATGCGATTAAGTTTTGCGTACGACTGAACAAAACCACAACGCATACTCTCGGTATAATTCAAGAGGCCTTTAAGGAAGAAGCCATGTCCCGTGCAATGGTTTTCACGTGGCAAAAACGTTTCAAAGGATGCCGCGGGAATGTTGAAGACGACGACCGCTCTGGGAGGCCATCATCAAACCGAACGAATCAAAATGTGAAGAGAGTGAGGGAACTTTTAAACAAGGTGTGTGCCAAACTGGTGCCAAAAGTTTTGTCGGTGGATCAGAAGAAACGGCTCATGACTTCGCCAGCAAATGTTCCAACGGTTGAATGTTGATCCAAACCTTCTGGAAAAAGTGTTTACTGGTGATGAGACCTGGGTCTACGAGTACGATCCTAAGTCGAAGCATCAAAGCTCAGAATGGCACACTGCTTCCTCGCCGAAGCCCAAGAAAGCTCGCATGAGCAAGTCGCGTGTGAAGTGCATGCTGATTTTTTTTTTATGGTAAAGGAGTGATTTACAAGGAGTTTGTAGTTTGTTGCTCGTGGACAGACTGTCGCAGGTGACTTTTACGCTTGAGTGCTCCGCCGCTTGAGGGATCGAGTCCGCCCGGCAATCAAAGGCAATTGGATTCTCCACCACGACAACGCGCCCGCTCACCCGTCACGCACCGCCGCCTTTTGGTCAAGTTCAACGTGACAACACTGCCGCAGCCACCCTACAGCCTCGACTTTGCTCCAAGTAACTTTTTATTCTTCCTCCTCCCGAATTTGTAAATATATGGTGAAGCAAAGGCATCTCAGCCAAAAGATTACAAAAATCATGACGGCATTGGCAAGATACGGCACAGATCTATGTGCCGTAGAATAAATATTGCGCTCAGCAATACAGAGGCCAAATTACACAGTATTCACTGCGCTAAGAGACTGCTCTAACTTCAGTGTAACCTCTATTGCATGGCTTCATGTCTAAACAAATTACACATGTAACCCTAATATATATAGTACGCGAATATATATGTAATATAATCGTCAGAGAATCTCAGTATTCTGTTATAGTACGCGAATATATATGTATGGGATCCTAAATGAATATGTAATGCATCCTAAATGTACATGTATATGTTATTGCACGTGAATCTCAGTGTAATTTTATACGATCCCTGCCTCTGGAACGTTCTGCACATTTGTCCACACTGATATGAAACTGTAAGAAATTCATCACTTATAAATGAATGTAGCTCCATAATTAAACAAATTGCATCTGTATGTAATCCCAAATGTATATGCATGTAATCCGAAATGAATATGTAATGCATCCTTAATGCATATGTCTCCATAATAGTACGTGAATTTTAACGTAATACTAATTAAACTACACCTGTATGTAATCTTAAATGTAATCCCAAACGAATATGTATGTAATCCGAAATGAATATGTAATGTATCCTTAATGCATATATCTCTGTTATAGTACGTAAATTCTAATGTACTTCTAATTAAACTGCACTAGTATATAATCTTAAATATATTTGCATGTAATCCTAATGAATATTTCCTGTATCTTCAATGTATCCTCAATGTATATATTATAATTGAATATGTTACGTATCCTTAATGTACCCTTAATGTCTATGAATATGTTATTGCACGCGAAGTTAACTGTAATTCTACACTAAATCAGACATACCAGAATTACCTCTGTATTCCTTTTACTGCACAGCTCCATATCTAAACAAATTGCATTTGAATGTGATCTCCAATGCATATGTATGCAATCTGAAAAGAATATGTAATGTTTCCTTAATGCATGTGTCTCTGTAATAATACTTGTATTTTACTGTAATTCTAGATGTCACCCCAAACGTATACGTACGTAATCAGAATGATCATGTAATGTATCCTTAACGCATATGTCTCTGTTATATTACGTGAATTTTACTGTAATTCTAATTAAACTGCACTTGTATGTAATCCAAATGTATACGTATGTAATCCAAATGAATATCTTATATTTCCTTATCGCATATTATAATTGTATATGTCACGCATCCTTACCCTTAACGTATATGTATATGTTATTGCACATGAATTTAAATGTAATTCTACACTAATTCATGCATACCAGAATTATCTATGTATTGCTATTACTGCACAGCTCCGTATTTATACAAATTGCATTTGCATGTAATCCCAAAATTATATGTATGAAATCCGAATTGTATATGTATGTAATCCGAAACGAATATGTAATGTATTCTCAATGCATATGTCTCTGTTAAAGTACGTGAATTTTGATGTCACTCTAATGATTATGTCATGTATCCTTACTGCATATTATAATTGTATATATTATGTATCCTTAATGTACCCTCAACGTATATGTATGTTATTGCACGCGAAAATGCACATCATAATTGTATCTGTTACGTATCCTTAATGTACCCTTAACGTATATGCATATGTTATTGTACACGAATTTAAATGTAATTCTACACTAATTCAGGCATACCAGAATCATTTCAGTATTGCTAATACTGCACAGCTCTGTATTTAAACAAATTGCATTTGTATGTAATCCCAAATGTACACGTATGTAATCCGAATTGTATATGCATGTAATCTCAAATGAATACGTCATATATCCTCAATGCATATGCCTCTGTTATAGTACGCGAATTTTAATGTAATTCTAACTAAACTGCACTTGTATGGAATCCTAATGTACAAGTATGTAATCCCAAAAGTATACGTATGTAACCCGATATGCATAAGGGAGGGGGTAATGTATCCTTACTGCATATATCTCTGCTCCAGTACGTGAATATTAATGTAGTTTTTAATTTACCTGAATATGTATACCTGTTATGTTTTCGTCTGTATGGATCCCCATAGGGATCTATTGCATGAGGTTCGATGCATAATTGTATCATTGTTCAATCAGCATTAACTTTAAATAATCTGTAATTATCATTGAGCAGAACGCATTCTTGAAACTTATGAATGCAAGCGTTTGATAAGTGTCATTGGTATTATTTAGGTTAACCATTTATTTTATTGTACGAATTAATATACTAATCTTATTTCCGTTGGTGTCAATATATGCATTCTTGTACCTTGTTTCATCGTGTGCTCTTGCAATAATAACATTTGATTTGTTGCTTTCATTTTAAACTTTATAAATCTCACTTGATATTTTATAAATCACTATATTGTATCTATCATGTATCAACTGCATGTTCATCCGCCCTTGTATGGCAATGTATCTCTCTTCTTTTAGTCTCAATAAATTCCCGATGGCCCTTTGGTTCGTTGAACTGCTCCTGGGATGGATCCGGCGTTGCGTCTGGGCGCTCGGTGCGAGGCACGCGTGAGGCTCCTCTCTAGCCAACTCTAGATAAGGGTGGACATGGTGCTGTACTGAATAATCTCTATGGCAAAGGGACAGTGCCCATGTCCACCGTCACTTATCACTTCCTCCTCCCGAATCAAGACAGGCCTAAAAGAGAAGCGATTCGACTCCATCGACCGCCATCCAGGAGGTTTCGACTAGAGCCCTTGACAGCATGACGCTCGAGACCTTCCAGAAGGGCTACGAACAGTGGAAGAGGGGATGGTAGCGCTGTGTTGATGCTGAAGGATAATATTTTGAAAACTTTTAGTCCTCTGTACTTAAATGTCCAATAAATTTCTAGTTCTGAGGTAAGTCTTGAAACTTTTGAATCACATTCTGTACTTGCATCAAATAGCACAAGATCAAAGTATCTATTTTAATGACAACATTTTATAAAACGGAAATTTTGCATTAAAAGTTAGCAAATATGTCAGCCTTTATTCATCGTAGAACCCTAGAAATTCGTGATCACTGCTGCTAGAATGATATGTGCAGTTATTTTTACATTGGTTATCACTCTCACTGGAATTGTCACTTTCCTCATATACAATATCATCTTCACCTCCATCTAGCGTATTCCGGCCCACCAGCGGCCGAGCGGTAAAGTCGCTGAACACTGGTAGTTCGGTCCGAGGTTCGAATCTCGCGAACGGGCTGGCTGCATGGGTGTTTTCGTGGTTTTCCCCATGTGTAACGTGTATACGAGCCAGTTTCCCTTAGAATGTCCTCCACGAAGGCATCCCTCCCCTTAGGCAGATAGCCCTAGTGTGTTTTGCCATAATTAAATACACACCACACACACACACACCCTAGCGTATTCCATATTTCTTAAAATATTTTATGATAGTTTCACTTTTAACATTCTGATAGGATATTTTCATCCACTCACAAACACAAAAATTTGACTGCCGTTTAAATCTCCCCGTCGTGTGACGTCATGAGTTGGCGCCTCAATTCCACTTTAGTCACTCTTCATGGATAAATGGACTCATTCTTCATGGAATTAAAGTGTGTGTGTGTATTGAAAATACGGCAAAGCACACTAGGGCTATCTGCCTAAGGGAAGGGATGCCTTTCGTGGAGGACTTTCTAAGGAAACGGCTCGTATACACGTTACACTGGGGAAAACCACGAAAACGCCCATGCAGCCAGCCCGTTCGCGGGATTCGAACCTCGGACCGAACTACCAGTGTTCAGCGATTTTACCGCTCGGCCGCTGGTGAGCCTCATGGAATTAAAGAATGTGTCTGTTATGAATGAAAACTTTGGCTTAAGCAGAAGTGGCTCTGTCAGATTGGCAGACGGAAAAATTTTTTACTGGAAGTTTACTTACAGGGGCTATCTATTCAGCCTTAATATCTTTCTGCGCATACGTGAAACAACTGTCAAGCCTATATCGAAGCAAAGAAAGTGTATGCTCATACACGTTCTTTTCTTGAACGGTTTATTGAATGAAACGTCCAGAGGTTGCAGTGGAAAAGCCAATCCACCAGGAATCACAAAAAGATACATCTTCAGTTCAGTAGCAAGGATTATTGCTGACTTTGTTATATAAATCTTAGACTGCTCGCACACCAATAAAGACCGATTTCTTCAGCAATCAAACTGATACTTGTACCACAACTTCTATAACCACAGCTTCCGTCTTGTGGCATGTTCATTCAATTCATGCAAACCCGCGCCGACAGTAGGTTCAAGGTCGAGTCAAAAAGGCGCCGGGCAATCATTAAAACAAGCAGTTCGTCTCGCTGCCTGTATGAAACTTCTTGTCTTATTTGATCGCTCCTCCGGTAGTCGACTCAAGTAAAACCTGGGAAGCTACTGATTAGGATCTTTACCTAGGCTGTCCTCGGCCACGGGTGTTTAAAATCAGTCTTCACAAGACTGGAGTCATCACTGGCAATGACTGTTTCAGGCTCGACAGGGACCGTATGGTACTGCTT